GCTCTCGAGGTTAAAGATAAGCTAGGAAAACTTAGTTTATCATGCATTAGCTGGCTAGATGATTCACAGCAAACCTCCCTAACTGTGTGAAAGGGCTGGCTAAAAAAAGGGACCTAGTGCTTTGGAGGTGATCTTCATCTCAATTTTCCTCATAGTAAAAAGGTAAAGGGACCCCTGGCCATTAGGTCCAGTCGTGACCGACTCTGGGGTTGTGGCGCTCATCTCACTTTATTGTTTCGGGAAGCTTTTAATGTTTGATGTATTATAGTATTTTAATATTCTTTTGGAATATTATTATTATTATTATTATTGGCCAAGGGAGCCGGTGTACAGCTTCCGGGTCATGTGGCCAGCATGACTAAGCCACTTCGGGGGGGGGGGGGGAACTGTGGAAAGCCCCACAGGTGCACAGTTAAGCCAGTGTGGTGTAGTGGTTGAGAGCGGTGGACTCGTAATCTGGTGAACCGGGTTCGCTTCCCCGCTCCTCCACATGCAGCTGCTGGGTGACCTTGGGCTAGTCACACTTCTTTGTAGTCTCTCAGCCCCACTCACCTCACAGAGTGTTTGTTGTGGGGGAGGAAGGGAAAGGAGAATGTTAGCCGCTTTGAGACTCCTTCGGGTAATGATAAAGCGGGATATCAAATCCAAACTCCTCCTCCTCCTCCTCCTCCTCCTCCTCCTCCTCCTCCTCTTCTTCTTCTTCTTCTTCTTCTGCTTCTTCTTCTTCTTCTTTCAATGCTACCAAGGGAAAAAAGGCCTGAGAAAATGTGGCGTAAGATACCACCATCCCATCGTTCTGCCTGGACACTGAGGTCAGTGCCGAGGGCCTTCTGGCGGTTCCCTCGCTATGAGAAGCCAAGTTACAGGGAACCAGGCAGAGGGTCTTCTCGGTAGTGGCACCCTCCCTGTGGAACGCCCTCCCACCACATGTCAAAGAGAACAGCAATCAGACTTTTAGAAGACATCTGAAGGCAGCCCTGTTTAGGGAAGCTGTTAATGTTTGATGCATTACTGTATTTTAATATTTTGTTGGAAGCCGACCAGAGTAGCTGGGGAAGCCCAGCCAGATGGGCGGGGTATAAATAATAAATTATTATTATATTATCACGTTTCGAGCGACACCCTTCCGCAGGAGATCAACTGTTATTATTCTCCTGTAAAAACACAGGCCAAAGGAGGTAACAGACTTTATCCTCTACGTCCTGAGAGACAGCGTGGATTAGCGCTTGCAGAACCACATTGCAAAATCCAGGCGAGGTGTGAATTTTTAAAGGTGGGTGTGGTTCAGATAACGGGGATGAGCTAGATGTGCCTTTAAATGTGAACTGAATTGAGCTTATCCCTCTTCCCTGGTTAGTACTGATTCCAGGTTTTTTAGGGCTTTTGGACCAGACCCAGTCCCTGGTCCCACTCTGCCACAATTATCGCCAGCTGCTTCCTCATCATTGCTCCTATTGGCTGGCTTGCCAGGCAGAGAGCCAATGAGCAAGCAAGAAGTAACATCTGCTCCTCCTCCTTCTCATCATTGTCTATCAAGGACTGGACTAAAAAGGAATGGTGGAGACTGTCTCTCCCTTCTCCTGAACCTTCCCAAGAAGAGGAGGACAGTATAGATTTACAACAGTGGTTTGCAGAGGGTCACAGCTCAGAGACAGAAGAGAGGCAAAGCTGGGAAGTAACGGGAGAAGCAGAGCAGGAACAGCTGGCTGACACAGTATCACTAGAGAGCATTCCTGACCCCCCTTCTCCCAGAACATGGCGAGCGATAAAAGTAGGAGAGCAGAGAGCCCAGAGGCAATTGTCCCTAAGCAGTGCTGGATGTTTATAAACTAAACAATTTATAGCTTGGGGCCCCACTCTCTTGGGGGCCCCCCAAAAAATTAAAGGAAAAATAAACTGGATGTACATTTCCAAAATATAAGATAAAAAACAAATAAAATAAAACCTACAAACAGCAACAGTGTTTTGTAGGCTCCTATGATGTAAGTAATTGGCCCTGCTTGCTAGCCTGCTCCCTAAATTATCACTGGTTTGCTCATTTCTATCTATAGGGTCCCTACATTCTGCATGGACTGGTTAAAGTGGTACCTCTGGTTACGAACTTAATTTGTTCCAGAAGTCCATTCTTAACCTGAAACCATTCTTAACCTGAGGTACCACATTAGCTAATGGGGACTCCCGCTGCCGCTGCACCGCCACCGCACAATTTCTGTTCTCATCCTGGGGCAAAGTTCTTAACCCGAGGTACTACTTCCGGGTTAGAGGAGTCTGTAACCTGAAGTGCTTGCAACCCGAGGTACCACTGTATTTTGTTATGTGCACATGGCTTTAGATACCTATTAGGTCCATAAATTACCATATAGCATATATTCAACGCACAAAAACAGCAACAATTTGTTGTTGACAAAGGATAGCTGGACATATAAAGGGCCCCATTACCTTCAGTAGCTTAGGGCATCATCAAACCTAAATCTGGCCCTGTCCCTAAGCTATTTGACCCCATCTACACCAAACTATCTTTCTCACTAAACTTTGTACATAATTGTCTATTGTATTATTTAACATTACTTTTAATATATTAGTGGCCCCACAGTGATTTTAGCTTATAAATTTTATTGTCTAATGTTTCAATCTGTATATTAAGGAGTTTCTATAGCTTTGTGCAGAGTAGGTCATGTTTTGACAATGTAATTTTTTTAGGTTTTTGTATGAAACTAGTATATATTTTGCCAGCAAAGGTCCGTATAGTTAAAGCCATGGTTTTCCCAATAGTGATGTATGGAAGTGAGAGCTGGACGATAAAGAAGGCTGATCGCCGAAGAATTGATGCCTTTGAATTATGGTGCTGGAGGAGACTCTTGAGAGTCCCATGGACCACAAGAAGATCAAACTCATCCATTCTTAAGGAAATTAGCCCTGAGTGCTCACTGGAAGGACAGATCCTGAAACTGAGGCTCCAATACTTTGGCCACCTCATGAGAAGAGAAGACTCCCTGGAAAAGACCCTGATGTTGGGAAAGATGGAGGGCACAAGGAGGAGGGGATGACAGAGGACGAGATGGTTGGACAGTGTTCTCGAAGCTACAAGCATGAGGTCTGACCAAACTGCGGGAGACAGTGGAAGACAGAAGTGCCTGGCGTGCTCTGGTCCATGGGGTCACGAAGAGTCGGACACGACTAAACAACTAAACAACAACAACAACAAGTATATATTTTATTGAATAATATTGTATACATTGCAGCAGCCTTTGGCTATAAGCAATAAACTTGACTGACTGACTGTCCCTAAGCAGACACCGTAAGGGAGGTGGGACTGTGGACAACCGAGAAGAGAAGGGGGAGGGTGTGAGGAGATTACTTGGAGCAACACCACTATCCAAGAGACGGCATTTCTACGTTTCTCTCTGTGAATATTGAATAAAAGACCTTGGTAAGAGCTTCTTGTCTTTCCATTACTGGCAGCCTGCCGTGGGGATCAGATTCCCTGGAGTCTGACATTGTCTAAACCCGGTTGAACAAGCAGGTTGCGATGGTGGCGGTGGGGTCAGGATACAAGAAGGGAGCTTTGTATCCATGGCATATGGTCACCTACGCAGATCTTTGATGCCTGGTGTGCAAACACAAGGTGGAAAACCACAGTATGTCCTTGCTTTCTAGTCTGTCCATAGCTGCTAGTTGCAGTGACTATGTCCCACCTCCATAGTTGGAGGCTGTAAGTCCCTGAATGCCAGTTTTTGGGAATCCCAACTGGTGAGGATGCTACTGCACTCAGACCCTTCTTGTGAGTTCCCCATAGGAGGAGGAGGAGGAGGAGGAGGAGGAGGAGGAGTTTGGATTTGATATCCCGCTTTATCACTACCTGAAGGAGTCTCAAAGCGGCTAACATTCTCCTTTCCCTTCCTCTCCCACAACAAACACTGTGAGGTGAGTGGGGCTGAGAGACTTCAGAGAAGTGTGACTGGCCCAAGGTCACCCAGCAGCTGCATGTGGAGGAGCAGGAAGCGAACCCGGTTCCCCAGATTACGAGTCCACCGCTCTTAACCACTACACCACACTGGCTCGGGTGCATCTGGCGGCATCTGGTGGACCACCATGAGAACATAATGTTGAACTAGATGGGACTTTGGTCTGCTCCATCAGGTCTCGTCTTACAGGTGAAGTACAGGATCAGGTTTAAGGTGCTGGTTTTAACCTTTAAAGCCCTATATGGCCTAGGACCCTCGTACCTACCGGACCGCCTCTCCTGGTGTGTCCCACGGAGAACCTTACGGTCCTCAAACAAAAACATCTTGGAGGTCCCAGGCCACAGGGAGTTAGGCTGGCCTCGACCAGAACCAGAGCTTTTTCAGCTGTGGCTCCGATCTGGTGGAACTCTCTGTCACAAGAGACTAGGGCCCTTTGGGACTTGACATCTTTCCGCAGGGCCTGCAAGACAGAGCTGTTCCACCAGGCCTTTGGCCAAGGCACAACCTGACCCCCCTCCTTCTGTAATCCTCACAGAACTCTAGCCCAACGGTTGCCATCAATTTGGTTTGAACTGATTTTATAATGAATTGGTTTTAGAATGCTGTATTATTTTACTGTTGTTAGCCACTCTGAGCTCGGCTTCGGCTGGGGAAGGCGGGATATAAATAAAGTTATTATTATTATTATTAGTTGTTGTTGTTGTTGTTGTTGTTGTTGTTGTTGTTGTTGTTATCAATTCCTGCACCAGCCCAGATACGAGTCTCCTTTCCACTCCTTTCCTATGAATAAGCCATGACTTAGAGAATAGCAGGGATTGTAAAATGTGGTGTAGGGATTTGCTGTGGGTGTGGTCTCATCATTTGTGTCTCCTGATCATGGAAATTTACTGTCAGTCGCACCTGCATTTTATTTCCATGTAACCACCCACCCTCTGCTTCTTCTCCCAAAGGTGTGTCTCTCCTCCCCTCCCACTTCCATTGGATGCTCCCCAAAACCTCGAGGAGAATAAAGGCTTCATTCTAGAACGCCTCTCTTCTCTGAAGCCCTACTTGAAAGAGTCCTTGTTGCAGAAGAGCTGAGCTGGGCGCTTTTCTCCTCTTAGCCTCCTCGCCATTTCCATAGGCACATTCCTCGCCGCCTCTCCATCATCATCTCCTCCTCTCTCTTTCCCTCTTGTGACATTTATCAAGATGAACAAGTACCTTCTCCTGGGATTTTCCGTTCTGATCTTCTGCTCAGTTGGTAAGTGCCAGCTTTTACAAGAAAGGAGGGCCGTGTGTGTGTGTGTGTGTGTGTGTGTGTGTGTTTCCTGGACACATTTGTGCAAATAATGGTGAACAGAAAGGGATTGTGTAAAAAAAAAGATAGAGAGGAAGATTAGATAGATAGATATAGATAGATAGATAGATAGATAGATAGATAGATAGATAGATAGATAGATAGATAGATAGATGATAGATAGATAGATAGATAGATAGATGATAGATAGATAGATAGATAGATAGATAGATAGATAGATGATAGATGATAGATAGATAGATAGATAGATAGATAGATAGATAGATAGATAGACAGATGATAGACAGATGATAGATAGATGATAGATAGATGATAGATAGATAGATGTCAGACTACAGTGGTACCTCGGGTTAAGTACTTAATTCGTTCCGGAGGTCTGTACTTAACCTGAAACTGTTCTTAACCTGAAGCACCACTTTAGCCAATGGAGCCTCCTGCTGCCGCCGCACCGCCGGAGCACGATTTCTGTTCTTATTCTGAAGCAAAGTTCTTAACCTGAAGCACTATTTCTGGGTTAGCGGAGTCTGTAACCTGAAGCGTATGTAACCTGAAGCGTATGTAACCCAAGGTACCACTGTAGTCAATTAAGTTTTAAGAAAAGAGGGAGAATGGGTGGCATTCTATCTTCCCTCATTTTGTCTACACTCCAGGAGTTCACCTGCAGAGAAGAATCTGTCTGTAGCTGGCTCAGGTTTGCCATTCTGGTCCATGTGGTGTTGGTGGTTCAGCAGCACAAGTTCTGCCAGTTATAGTGTGTGCAGGGGTTAGGGAAAGGAGAGAAGGTCATCTCAGAGAGCATTTAAATGCAAAACTACTTAATTTGCACCTTCCGAAACAATTTACTTGTGTGAATTTTGCAATACAGTCCTCCAAGCAAGTAATGTATACAACAATTTGTGCATTAGGGTAATGTGTGCACAACCTGCGTCTATTTGTGCAAATAACACAGAGAAACACATTGTATGAGCGGGAGAGACCTGCGGGAATGTTTTTGTGAGGACGCCTAAAAAATGCTAAAGTGGAAATGTGTTTAGCTGAATCTAATTAAAAAGATGAAATGCTGACAGAAACTGAAATCAACCGATTCACCTTTTACTAGCGGGAGTACATACGGGTGGATCCAAGCAAATAATATTCAGAGGAGACCCTCGATTAGATGTAAGTTAGTTATGTCCATTAATTTCAATGTGTCTACTCTGGGTAAGACTAACACTGGCTGCCTCCCTTAAAAAAAAAAAAGCAAATCTAAAGGATTGTGAATGGAAAGGTGAGCCAGGCATTAACTTGTGTTCATGTTAAGTTTGAAATTTTGAATAAGGATATTTTTTCGCCCCCTTGTGAGTGTTGCTGGAGGTTTATAGTTTTCTGTTTACGACAGGTCTAGTGGAGGCTCTCTTGAGTCAAGCAAGCCAGCAAGTAAACAAAAACTGTTACTACTTAATGAGTTTTGATAAGGCAATCATCTTAATGATTATTCTGCATTGTTTTTAATAGTGTTTTGTTATTTATTGTGTGTGTATATATACATGAGCGCACGCACATAGAGAGAGAGCTGTAGAAGGCCATTATATTTTATGAGAAGTGACATATACAGTGGTACCTCTGGTTACGAACCTAATTCGTTCCGGAGGTCCGTTCTTAACCTGAAACTGTTCTTAACCTGAGGTACCACTTTAGCTAATGGGGCCTCCCGCTGCCGCCACGCGATTTCTGTTCTCATCCTGAGGTAAAGTTCTTAACCTGAGGTACTATTTCTGGGTTGGCGGAGTCTGTAACCTGAAGCGTCTGTAACCTGAAGTGTCTGTAACCCGAGGTACCACTGTAGTTACTTTTAACGAATCAAGCAATGTTCCAGAGACAACCTCCCCCTTCATATTCCCTTCCCTGATTTTAACACCTTTGTGAAATGTCTCATGGACCCCATTTTTAAAGGACTGCCTGGGCTTCTTGAGAGAGGAACAGGACTCCATACAGGCGTGCCTAAGGCGTCGCTCGTCCTCAACATATCCAGGCACCACTAACAATCTCGGAAATCTCTCCAAGCTGCTTACATCTCCACACATTCCATTACTCTTCGTCCCTTTCTGCCATCTTTCCATCTATTTCTGAGCTCAGCACATCCAGCCCACAATGGAGGAGCTAGGATTTTCACAGCGTTCACATTTCAGCTCCAGGTACAACAGTTATCGCCCTTCATCTCAACATTAACCCACCCATCTGCCATATTCCATAATGGAAAATAAATGCACTAACCATAATATCCAGTGCTGCTTGCTGGAGAAATCTGTTTGGGTGTGGAATCTTCATTGCTTTGGAGCTTTGAAGAATTCAGAAAACAATCCATTTAACCACAGGTGCATCATTCATTTAGGAAAGGGGAGTGTTGGTAATTGTGCTAGGGAGGGGTGAATGACTCAGCCACTGAAAAACAGAGCCTTATAAAAAGGTCTCTCACGAGTGCCTTGCCCTCTGTAAAAGAAGGAAGCCCAGTCTGGAGAAGAAAAGAAGATGAGGAGCATGAAAGCCAATCAAAATTCCTGGCATCTCGAAACTATGGCTGCAGCCATACCTCAAACTGCCCACTATGGTCCTCAAAAACTTTTCCCAGAAGGACTGAAAAAGTTCCTCCACCCCTGTTCCAAACTGCTTCCATAAAACATAGGCTGCATCCATACCATACGTTAAAGACACTCGACTTTCCCCTGGAAACCGTGGTTTGCTAAGGATGCTGGGGATTGTAGTTCTGTGAGGGGTAAACTGTGGTTTGCAGGATCCTTTGGAGGAAGCCACTTTAAAAGTGCTTTCAGTGTATTACATGGATGCGATCAAAGAACTATTGAGCTGGGTACAGTGGTACCTCGGGTTAAGAACTTAATTTGTTCTGGAGGTCTGTTCTTAACCTGAAACTGTTCTTAACCTGAGGTACCACTTTAGCTAATGGGGCCTCCTGCTGCTGTCATGCAATTTCTGTTCTCATCCTGAGGCAAAGTTCTTAACCTGAGGTACTATTTCTGGGTTAGCGGAGTCTGTTACCTGAAGAGCCTGTAACCCAAGATACCACTGTATTTAGAATGAAAGAAGATACTAGTTGTAATAACACTTCACCACGGAATAATCTGCCTAAAACAGTCTATTTAGCCCCTTCCACCCCTGCACAGAAATGATGCAGTCCCTATTGGGTAGTGCCTATGATAACATGCATCCTCTTTTTTTTAATTGACTTGTAATTTTAAAAGGTTATGTTAACCATTTGACAAAAGATCTACAATATTGTGGAATAAAGGGCAGGAGAGGAGTATGTTTAGTTAGACACTGTTCTGCACATCAGACTTTATTTTTAAAAACCCAAGATTACTTCTCCTTTTCAGTAATCAGAATATTGCAAGTTACAGGTAGGTAGCCGTGTTGGTCTGCCGTAGTCGAAACAAAATAAAAATATTCCTTCCAGTAGCACCTTAGAGACAAACTAAATTTGTTATTGCTCATACCAACAACAAACTTACTTGGTCTCTAAGGTGCTACTGGAAGGATTTTTTTTTATTTTGTTTCAAAATACTGCAGTTCAGTGAGTGAAATTACCCATATCAGGAACTGGTCACGGATCTGGTCTGCTCAACTCCATTTTATGTATCTTCACGAGTGTCAATGTGGTGCCCTCTAGTTGTCGTATCTAAAATTCATATCGGCTCCAGCATGACCAATGGGCACGGATTATGGGAGTTCTAGTCCAACAACAGCAATTATTATTATTATTATTATTATTATTATTATTATTATTTATTATTTGTACCCCGCCCATCTGGCTGGGTTTCCCCAGCCACTCCCAGCTAGAGGGAATCCCCTTTTTCCAGAACATAACACAGTGGTACCTTGGGTTACAGATGCTTCAGGTTGCAGACACTTCAGGTTACAACTCCACTAATCCAGAAATAATACCTCAGGTTAAGAACTTTACCTCAGGATGAGAACAGAAATTGCATGCTGGTGGTGCAGCAGCAGCGGGAGGCCCCATTAGCTGAAGTGGTACCTCAGTTTCAGATTAAAAACGGACCTCCGGAACGAATTAAGTTCTTAACCTGAGGTACCACTGTACCTACAAGGTATTGACCCAGGATGGATTACTATAGGCATGCTGCTGATTGATAGATGAGGACTTTTTGTGGATTGGGCGTACTTGCCTATCGGTTCCCTATTTCACGTCTCACTGCATGACGTGAATGTTTGACAGGCTTCTGGTACATGTAACTGCGACGGGAAGCATCCACGCTCCAAGCTGGGCAGGGAAAGGAAGCCTTCTGCTTTAGGAACAGAAGAACTGGATAAGGCCCAAAGCCCATCTAGCCTAGCATCCTTCTCTCACGATCTCCAACCAGATGACCGTGGAAAGTCTTGCAAGCAACAGCACACACCTCACTTGCGATTCCCAGCCACTGGCATTTTGAAGCATAGTGCCTCTCACACTATGAAGGGGGCGGTTGCTGCTGCTTTTAATTAATCTTCTGTTGGGAAAGAGAGCACAATGTTTCCACAGGACCTGCTTCAAAGCTGGAGAGAGTCGCTTGAGCAAATTAGCAAAATGCCTCTCGCCAGAGTGTTCTTGTCCCAGTTCCAGCTTGATGCTATTTCTACCATGTGTGTTAATCCCAGCAATGATTCATGTGCTATCCTAGAGCATTCTCAGTGGTGTTAATTAAACTCTCTCACAAACGTGTGACTATTCTTTTGGGACGTCCTGGTCTACCTCTCTCTTTTCAAACTTTATTATTCTTATTGTTTAGGGAGGGGCCAGTCTCAGCGTTTAACTTTTTTATTTATGTTGGGCTCTTAGCATTTTGCCTTTGACTTGTCTTAGGTTGACAGAAAATAATAGAAATATTAAGAAAATCAACTTTGCGTTTAGTTTCTTAAATATTTTGTATTGATTTTTAAATTTCAGGTAACTTTTATTTTAATCAAAAGATATACACACACACACACAAAGAGATACTAAAACAAACTGCAGAACACTTGTAAATGAAGTTGTTTGTTTACAAGATTTATAACCCACCCAACTTTCCAAGTTGCTCAAAGCTATATAGCCATTACTCCCAACCCTCCTTATGCTCATAGAGATCATAGAATTGTAGAGTTGGAAGGGACCTTGAGGCTCATCTAGTCCAGCCTTTCTCAACCTGTGGGTCCCCAGATGTTGTTGAACTACAACTCCCATCACCCCTAGCTGGCAAGGCCCGAGCTCAGGGATGATGGGAGTTGTAGTCCAACAACATCTGGGGACCCACAGGTGGAGAACCACTGATTCTAGTCCAACCCCCTGCAGTGCAGGAATATGTAGCTGTCCTTTGCTGCTAGGAGGGTGAACAAGTTTCAAAGTCCCACTCAAAGATTCAGGAATGAATTGCAGGGGTAGGAAAAAGTATGAGGGTTATCCAGCTACATCATACTCAAGAGCAGACCCACCTAAACGAATGAACATGAATTACTTAGGTGCATGGATTTTAACGGATCTGCCCTGAATATGAACGGTGTTAAAATATCACCCAGTGCATTTTAAGAGTTCATTGTGGCTGCTTTTAAAAATATACCTCGCTATAATCACAGCTGTGTTACCAACACAAGGCAAACAGGCATCCTTTTGCAGTGAAGATTTATGAGCTTCCTGCGGTTTCCTCCCCTAAAACCGAAACCATGGCACGTCTATCTCTTCTTTTTTCAGCACAAGGTCTGATGTGCAAAGTTTGTAAATTCAAAGTCGGCGACCTCTGCTTCGATTCCGATGAACCCTGCAAAGCCGATGAGGGCCAGTACTGCGAAACAACCAAAGTGTATACAGGTGAGACTGGGAAAGAGAGATTCCTCTGGTGTTTGAGCATACAATACATAGAATTGTGGTTAGAAGGGAACCCCAAAGGTCATCTAATCCAACCCCCTGCAACGCAGCCACCCCAGCTAATCCCAGCCTCCCATCCTCCTTCCACAACCTGGAACGGTCCAGGTCAGCCTTATGCTGGCTGGGGCTCATGGGAGTTGTAGTCCAAAACTTCTGGTCAAGGCAGTGCTGGGATATATCAGTTGTGCAGTGGTGAGTAATGACCCCCCCCCCAAAGGAAAGGGTGCAGCACTCAGATCTCTCCAAATATCTCTGTAACACAGGATTGGATTTCATAAAATCATAGCCTTGTAGAGTTGGAAGGGACCACGAGAGTTCATCTCATCCAACACCCCCCCTCCCTGCAATCCAGGAATCTTTTGCCAAACGTGGGGATTGAACCCACGAGCCTGAGATTAAGAGACTCAGGCTGTACAAACTGAGCCACTTCTGGATATATATATATATTTTAAAAAACCCAAATCATTCGAGACTGCCGGACCAAACCAAAGGCCCATCGAGCCAACCATCTGATTCTCACAATAGTCAACCTCGTGCCACTCTTGACCCCGCCCCCCACAAGTAGGAGATGATTGCAGTAGCACGCTCCTGCTTGTGATAAATTCGGAGGCACGTTGTCTTCTGGCAGAGCATTCTTCCTTCTGCAGAGGTCTCCTGCATTCAAACTGCTCCCTCCAAATGGAGCATTTCCCCCCCCTCAGAAAAAGTGCTGTGGATTCAGACAGTTCCCTCTGAATGGACTTCAAAGGGGTTCCCGGCAACTACCAATCAAAGTCCAGAGGAGGCTGGCAGTAGCCGCCACTCAGCTGATCGGCAGTTACGGCAAATCTGTTTGAAGGTGCCCTTCCAGTAGCGATCAGCTGCATGGTGCTGAATGTGCCTCTTCAAAGGAGCTTTCCTTCCTTCACATCTGTTTGGGGAAGTTTTAAATGTTTGATGTTTTGTAGCTTTATTGTTATTATTATTAATATTCTGCCAGAAACCGCCCAGAGTGGCGGGGAAACGCAGCCAGATGGGTGGGGTATAAATGATAAATCATCATCATCATCATCATCATCATCATCACACACCTCTTCCTCCTCTCCCACCAGGTAGAATAAAGCTCTTCACCAAACACGGCTGTGGCAAGTACTCAGAGCTCTGCAACAAGACGGAGCAGAGGGACAATGTCTTTGACATGAACTATAACCGCACGTGCTGCAACTACGACTTGTGCAATGGAGCAGCCGCGACCAATCCCAGTCTTCCGTTCTTCGCTGGCCTCAGCTTGGCCCTGGGGTGGTGGCTGGCCCACTAAGATTGAGGAGTAGCAGTGATGTTCTTCCCACTAACAGACCCTCTGCATCACCTCGACCTCCTTCGAGCCTGCGGCGTGTGCCCATGTGCCAAAATTTCCCTCGCATGTGCAGATTTCAAATCTTCCCACCTCGTTCACTGCCTCTCCTGTAGGCTTGGTTAACTTGTGGACCCTCCAAGCCCAATGCAACCTGCCTGCCATCAGCAATGGTCCACCAGAGGACCACCAGCAATGGTCCAACAATCCACCAGTCTCCTCTTCCCTCTACTCTGCCTGGGGAGCTTTCACAAGCATAGCTGGTGGGTTGTGTTTGGCTTGTTGGGTCACAGGAATGTTAGGCCTTGCCTACTCTGTGTATCAGGGTTGGGGAAACTTTTTTCCAGACTGGGCACCATATTCCCTTCTGGGGGCCACATGGCAGTGGTGGGCGGGGCCAGATGCAAAAGTGGGAGGAGCAACGGGTGCAATTCCTCCCCTCCTTTGTACAGTAGGATCGTTTATGGACACACTCGCACACCCCTCCACACCCTCTGCTGACTGGAATGTGCCTTCACACTCTTGCTTGCCCAAAGGGAAGATAGTGTTAGTTTCTGTTTCTCACTGTGCAGCAGAGAGCAACTGAACAAAGGAACAAAGGAAACAGGAAACCAGTAACGTCACATCCGTCTCTAGTCTCCTGTGAGACTGCCAATAGCCTGGACTGTCTGCGGAATGTAAACACAGTCCTGTGACTTGCAGCAGCTGCACAGTGAGAAACAGAAACTAACATCAACCATCCTCTGCTACCACTTGTTGGAAAAATGCCCCTGGGAAGGATGCCAACTTCCCAAGACCCGGGCTTCTCTCCGGTGGTCACTCTCTGGCTGGAATCATCCCTCAGTCCAGAGAGACTCCTCCGTCCTGAGAGGAGCACACTAATCTTCTGGCATCCCATCACAGAAGAAAGAGACAGTCCGTAGTCTACTCACTACTTTATTAAGACTGTACACGCAGCTCTTACAAGCATGACTGCTCTCCTGAGCAGCAAACACAAGAGTCTCTGACTCGACTCACACTTCGGCTCAGAAGCGAAAGTAACTCTCCGGTTACATGAGAACTGGCAGAGACTTCCTGTCTCACGCTCAGAGACATCCCATGATGTCAACACTGTAGCTGCTCTTCGCAGCTGGTGAGATATGTAATCCCAACATATAGAGAGAGGTGGTGGAGTGTGTGTGTCCTGGGGAGAGGGGGTGTGGCCTAGGGAGATCTTGGAAATTCCCCATCCATCACCCACCTACCAAGCAGCTTTTGAAAATCCAAAACCAGGTGATTTAGGCTGTACCTGTGAACTCTTCTCTGCTTTGTTCAAACTGATGATGAAAGTAAACCCAAGCAGAAAGGCCTGCATGCCTTGCTCTGTGTGTTCATTAAGCCTAAGTAGGTGCAACGCAGACCGCAGGATGTGGCTTCCTTATTCACCCCTGCCCCCCTCTCCTCCACACCCTGTTTTGTTTCCCCTTCATCAAATTTTTAAAATTGTGAGCTCCTTAGGGGCAGAGTGGGTTTTGTGCTCTGGAAAGCACATTGTGTGGCGCCAGGTAAATAAAAATAAAATAAAAATAAAAATAAAACTCATGCTCTTAACACATGGCCTACATGCCAAAGAAGACAGGGACAGCTGCCTCTTAACAGGCGTTGCTCAGGAATTCTAAGAAACCCCCAAACCAGTGCAGTTTTGAAATTGGTGGTTAAAACACGGAACCTGCTCCTTGGTCTCAGGAACCACCATGCAAAATTTCTGAACAGCCCAGTCCACCATCTTGACTCAAAATAGCATTTGACTGTGTCCAAAACGTAGACCTTCTCCTTGATCTCTGGAGTCAGGCTGCAAAATTTAGTTAAGCTTTCTTAAGAGCAGAGGCGTACCTAGCCTCCGCCATCTTGATTCAAAATGGCGGCCGGCATCCAAACAGCTACTGCAAACACCACCCCTCACCTCAGGAACCCTCACGCCAAGTTTGATAACAATATCTCTAGAGGTGGCTGAACCTATAGGCAGCAGACGGACAGATTGGCAAACTGCTTTCCAAAATATATAATAGTGATAAATATATATATGATGGTATGTATGTGTGGGAAGGAGAATGGTATTCTGTAGACCAAAGGTAGCAATGTGTGAGTCAGACGATGGCATTGGGTACGGAAGAGCGAAGAATCCCGTTTTTTCCAGCAGACACACAGCGGGGTGGGTGGAGTAAAGACAACTGCAGCCATTGGCAATCCTTTCCACAGTTTAATTTCCGCCACGAGGCAGAGGTAGGGCTTTCCCATTACACTTGTCAGTGTCACAACAAGAATCAATGTGTGTGTATTTTCCGTCCTTTTGAACTGCGTTGCAGTATTCCCAATATTCATCACTCACACAGCCATAACTCATGAAATAGAGCTCATCATCTGTGAGGGGAAAGACAATAATATGACCAAGGAGAAAAACGAGTGACGTCATGGTCAGCTTAAGGCCAACATACAATTCCATGCCCTCCAACATGTCAAAAGGAAAAACCAGGATGACATAATCCGGAAGGCCACCTTCCATTTCCTTTTCTTTTTATGGATACACCCAGAAATAAATAAATAAATAAATAAATAAATAAATAAATAAATAATACAGTGGTACCTCCAGTTACAAACGGGATCCGTTCCGGAGCTCCGGTCGCATCCCAAGGAACTCACAACCAGAGGTGCCGCTTCTGCGCATGCGCATGGCACATAGAGCACTTTTGTGCATGCGCATGCAGCGAAACCAGGAAAAATACTTCCCACAGCATACGTAAGTAGAGGGGAATGTAAGTGGAGGTACCACTGAAATAATAATAATAATAATAATAATAATAATAATAATGCTATTACTTGTAAGGTAAAGGACCTCTGGACTGTTAAGTCCAGTCAAAGGAGACTATAGGGTTGCAGCACTCATCTCGCTTTCAGGCCAAGGGAGCCGGCCTTTGTCCACAGACAGCTTTCTATGTCATGTGGCCAGCATGACTAAACTGCTACTGGCATAACGGAACACCGTGACAGAAACCATAGCGCACGGAAATGCCATTTACCTTCCCACCGCAGCGGTACCTATTTATCTACTTGCACTGGTGTGCTTTCAAACTGCTAGGTTGGCAGGAGCTGGGACAGAGCAACAGGAGCTCACCCCGTCGTGGGGATTTGAACCACCGACCTGATCGGCTATCCCAAGAGGCTCGGTGGTTTAGACCACAGTGCCACCCGCCTCCAGGCCCTTTATTATTTGTAAGCCACCATCACCCAACAATCTGACTGGGTTACAGCAGCTTCTGGTTTGAATCCACAGCTTTAAGAAGCTGCCTTAGGCCGAGTCAGACTATGGGCCTATCCGCCTCAGGGCCGCTTACCCTGACAAGCAGTGACCATCTGGGATTCCCGGCTGAGTCCGTTCCTACCCCTGTCTGGAGATGCTGGGAACAGGGCGCTTTACCGCTGAGCTGCGGCCCATCGCCAGGTCTTACCAAGGTAGCTGGTATAGGTGTAACACTTTCCAAAGCGAGTCTTGCACGTTTCTTCTGTTGAATAGCAGGCCTTGCCATTTCCGGAATGACAGAGCTTACACACGAGGCCTTGGGCTGAGGTTGAAAAGAAGTTGTCGAAAGTGAGGGCTTGGAGATGGTCCTTTCTCATGTGGGAACGAGGGTGAAAAACAGGAGAAGGGGTGGATGGGGATAATCTGGGAGCAGCCGTGTGTGGCTCTGAGTGCCGTAAGCCAAGGAACCGTCTGCCCTCCTCCCTCTTTGAAAATTGGGGTGCGTTCATGGTTCCCCACCCTTTGGGAACCTTAAGGATGGATTCTTGTAACCAGGGATGCTTAAGAAACAAGCACCACCTTCTGCCTGAAGCTGGTATTTCTGGGTCACCAAAATGGAAGTGCCAGTTGCAGATACAGTGCTGCACACAAGTGGAGTGGACTTTGACTCACACAACAAGGCTTGCCTTTCCTTGCCCTCCGTGGCACCTGCTGCCGCGTAGTCCCAAGTCTGCCCTGGATGCTTGGAGCACACCCCAAGGCAGATGAGAGCCAGCGGCACAGGCGGCCGCAAGGGGGAGGAGAGGAAGGGGGAAACCTGCTCTGTGAGCAGGAGTCTCTCCATGGAACGAATTTGTTCATGCACTGAAACCCATCTGTTCTGTTTATGGGTCACACAATGCATACAAATACAAAGAGTATGTCTTTGTTTGGCTGACAGCCATTACGAAAGATAAAAACACATAAAGCAGAATGAAATCTGTTGCACAGTTTAGGTAATTAATAAGATGAGACATCCTGTCGGACGAGAGTTTGCTTCCCTGAAGAACTTAACTTACCATCCCCACAATTTTTTTATCCTTAAAATGGCAAAGCAGGTCACTTTTTCCAGATGTGTAGGTCACAATATATAATACATACGTAGGTACAGAATCAGAACTTTTTCCAATTCTGCACCTTCAAGGGGAAAAGGCTCACAAAGGACTTGGAAACTCATGCATACCTCTGCTTATTTTCTCTGTAGACCTCTGCTCCCTCCCTCCCTCCCTCCCTCTCTCTCTCTCTCTCACACACACACACACTCACTCACCAGGAGAGCAGAAGAGCAACATAGAGGCCCCAAGGAGGAGAATCTGATTCATCCTGAATAATGTACACAGCCTCCCAAGTGAATATCAAGACTGAAAATGGAGCCGTGGAATATTAGGGAGGTCTGGAGTTCTTTGGCTTACCAGTTTCTGCCCTCTGAGCCTCTGGAAGCAGCCAGTGAGGTCCGGGGCAAAGGTGTGCTGTGGAAATGTTTTCTTTTGGGCAGAAATGCTGGCAGACACTGTTGCTAAACGGTGCCAGTTAACAGGTCTGGACAAAGTTTCCACCTCTATCAACTTGGCGTAAGTCCATTCTGTCCTGTATCTGCATTAATCTGCAAAATGTGTATCCATCTATCTCTATCGTGCTCTCTGGAGCAGCAGAAACAAGCTTGCTCCATGATCCATCTCCCATGAGACGGTCCTTCAGATATCATATCAGCTCTCAGTCGTCTCTTCTCCAGGCGAAACAAGATTTTACGCACCTCCTCCTGCATTGCAGGGGGCTGGACTAGATGACCGCCAGGGTCCCTTCCAACTCTACAGTTGTATGATTCCTTGATTCTCCAGTCTCCACAGCAGTACAAGATTCCAGGAGTTGCGTGTCAAGGTCCCCCAAGCTACCCCTAAATAATTCACAATTCACACATAATTTTTGTTTAAGGCTTTTGGCATAATTTTGGCCACAACTTTATTAAAATACATAAATGTGAGTGGTTGCTTAGGCATTGGTTATGACTATCTGTCCCCACACCCAGGGACAGAACTGACTTCCGGATTCCAGCGAAAGCCAGTGAGGGGAAACAATATTGGGGAGAGCATGGGGCTGGGCACCAGACCCTCATCCCGCCCCTGCCCCCGCATGCTCCCAGGGGCTTGCGCAGCCCTAAGCTCCATTCAGGGGTACGGACGAAAGAATGGCAAGCCCCTGGATTCCTTTAATGGAATTCCCTTGCAGCAGCAGCATTGGAGGGGCAGGCACCGCCAATCCTTACCCCTCCACCAACCAATTTTTTAACCAATGCCTAACTGCAACCTTGCAAGTTGTGATGATTTGCTACGCAGTAGGCAAAACCAAATGGCACCAGCCAATCAGCCAGATGGACAAAATTCCTACCAGGGCCCTTCCCCAAAAGCAGACGACCCCATGGCAGGCATAGCAAGGTCAATGAAATAGCCCTAAATTAGGGAGGGTGGGCAGGTGATCCGATGCACGCAGCAAAAGAGCCCAGTCAGTGCTGTGTGACTTGATTTTATAAGCTTTGGTCCGTCCCCCTAAATGGCAACACCAAAATTTGCCCAGTAACCCAACTGCCCAATCACTACAGATGGCCATACATACTAACCTGCCCAGCAACAGAGGGGTGGCCTGTTCAGACCCCACCGCAACACGTGCTCTCTATGAAGGAGAACACGCTTTGCAGCCTCACTTTACACACCAGGGTCTCTGTTTCCTTGGGGAAACGAGGCACAGCAGAGACTGTGGTGTCTTTATGATATATGGTTTGTTTGTTTATTTACACATATATACAGCCTGAGTCTACAGAAGGGTCCTCAGCATTCATACCCCAAGAGTTTCTGGCTTCTCCTATAGCCACAGCAGCCATGGACCTAAACAAACCCTGCCTGTTGGGATTCTCAGACGTTGCTCTCGCCTCCTCTCTCCAAGCCACCACTTCCTAACTCTGTTGCTTAACTTCTAACACTCTGCACTAAACTTCTGCCCACATTATATTCTCCCTCTCGATTCTAAACCCCAGACAGAGAGAGACCCTGCTCCTTTTGACTAGGGTTGCCATATTTCAAAAAGCGAAAATCTGGACACAAAGGTTGTTGAGTTTTGTTTTTGCAAAGTTGTTGAGCTTCTTCTTCTTCTTCTTCTTCTTCTTCTTCTTCTTCTTCTTCTTCTTCTTCCCAAAGTTGTTCAGCATTTTTGTTTTTTTTGGGGGGGGGGAGGGAAACGACAACATTTTTGAGCTGCTTCTTTTTTTGACCAAAATTGTTCAGCTTTGGGAGGGGCAGGGGGCCAAAGTTGTTGAGCTCTGAATTTTCGAACTATTTTTAATTACATCCGGCAAAATCTACACTACCATCGTGGGCTGCCCAAAACCTGGATTTCCCCAGACCTCTGATGCTCTGGTTGTGTTAACAACCTGTAACCCCAGGCTAACACCTCCAATGAAATTAGTCCAAGTTTCTTAGCACCAGCCTTGATTAGCGCTTATCACATGCAAATTCCAGAGGGATTAGAAGCGGCAGGTCAAATACACACATGGCTGTGACGTTCCTAACACACAAGTTCCAATTAAATTCTAACTTTTACAGAGCCCAGGCGTTCAGCACCTGCAAACCTGTAATGATACACAACTCCCTCAACTGTTTCTCGTAAGGAACTGTAGCCCGTTCTCTGTAGTCCCCTGAACACTTATGCACATGCTCTCGCAGACATTTTCATTCACCAGGAGAGCAGAAGAGCAGCATGGAGACCCCAAGGAGAAGAATCTGATTCATCCTTAATAATGTAAACAGTCTCCCAAGCAAATATTAAGAATGAATCAGGGCTGCGGAATCCTAGACAGTTCGGGAGCTCTTTTGCTTGCTTACTGCGTTCCACGCTCCAAGCCTCTGGGGACAGCCAGCGATGTACACAGGACAAAGGTTTGGTAAATGTTTTCTTTGGGGAGGAAATATTGGCAGATACTCTAGCCAAACAGTGTCAGAGGAGGCAAAATTTTAATAGATTTGAACTTTTGCATGTGTTCACCCATAAGTCCACAGCATCATGAATCTATCTATCTATCTATCTATCTATCTATCTATCTATCTATCTGTCTGTCTATCTATCTATCTATTTTTAATGCCAGGGTACAGTCTGAAAGTTGGGTCGATCTGAGTCTGCTTAGTAATTGGGAGATTGCCTGAGAATACGGCCTCGGGTTCAATGGTGGAAGAAAAGTGGGATACAAAGGCAAGAAAATAAAGAATAAACAAGCACAATCCTAATAGAAATTTGTATTTAATCAGTATTGCGATATGCATTTCCTAGAAAATGTACGTGCCTTTCAATATATGCATTTCTAAACCATATTGAATACAATTTTTGAACCAAGAAACAGCACCTGGAGATTTGGAAAGTGAAATTGGATACAGATAATCAGGCTCCTATACACATTTGGGTCCAGGGGGTGCGTATGCCCCTGGTCGATTCACATCAGGATTTGAAAAGATCAGGTTCCACAAACAGCACTAGTTTGAACCACTTTCCCAAGGCAGGCAGGGGGAATTACATTCCCAAAAGCTTTTTCACAGGAAAAACCACGTGCCCAAGAGTAGACAATGGATTGAGAGCCACAGGTCTGGGGGTGAAATATGCATAGCTGTCAACCGTCCCTTATTTGGCGGGAAAGTCCCTTATCCCAGCACTGTGTCCCACTGCTGTCCCTTATTGATGATGTCCCTTAAATTTCCAGGTTTTCAAAGGAATCAGCTCCTCTCCCTCCCTCCCTGCCAGCCAGGGAGGAGGGAGGCTCCAACTGTGTTGCTTGGCTGCGTTGCTCACCCAATAAGGAGTCTAAGAACGACTGGGGGGTGGAGCTTGCATGCCTTGTGCCAATCAAATCGGCCGTGTTGCCTGGGGACTCGCCTTTGCTCAGCGCTTCCCAGCGGAGAGGTGACGGTGGTTTTCCTTGCTGCATCCCCTTTGCCGGGTTGCTGTGCTGTGGGAACCACTGCTTGAGGCTTCGTTTGGCTGCTGGCTGGGCTTTCTGCCTTTGGCTCGGAGGGGCTCAGAAGTTGAACATACCTGTGCTCGGAAAATCCCTTATTTTGGCTGCTGATCCCTTATTTTCGAGGCTGCTGGTCCCTTATTTTCAAATCTGTAAGTGGACAACTATGGAAATATGGGCCCCCAGACCTCTTTAGCTGGCCCTTGGGACTCTCATCAGGTCACACCCACTGCCCAGCCAGCCCTCCTCTCCCCAGGCATAGCGCCTGACCAACCTTCCATTGCAAACTCTTTTGGGTGTTTCTGCCTTGCTGGAATGTGCCCTTGAACTTGGACAAGGCTTATTGCTTTCCTGGATGGGGAATTGAGAGGCGTCAGGGACTGACAGGATGCTGATGACTGTCCACTGGGGGAAGGGGGCGGGACTTTGACTTGGAAGAGGGGGTTGGTGATTTGTGGGAAGCTTCAGAGATGGAGGGTGGAGCACAGAATGGGTCTGAGGAAGAAGAGGAAGAAGCGGGTCAGGCAAGCGGAGGGTCAAGTGCTTCCCTCCCCTCTCCTGAGCCACTGTGTCCCAGAACCAAGAGGTGGTTGAAAGGGGATGAGCAGAGGACGTTGTGGGCATGTTGCGGATAGTAGGAGAGGCTATATTGCTACTAGTGAGTTAGTAGCAGAGCACATTCCCTGTACATCGCAGGAAGCTCGTTGGTAGATTCATTTGAATCTCTTGAGTTAAGCAATCCAGTCTGGCTTGTCCAGATTGGATTTGTTCCTGGTAAATCCCCTTTGTTCCCTCCTAAAAAGAATAAGTAGTGATGTATGGAAGTGAGAGCTGGACCATAAAGAAGGCTGATCGCCGAAGAACTGATGCTTTGAATTATGGTGCTGGAGGAGACTCTTGAGAGTCCCATGGACTGCAAGAAGATCAAATCTATCCATTCTTAAGGAAATCAGCCCTGAGTGCTCACTGGAAGGACAGATCCTGAAGCTGAGGCTCCAATACTTTGGCCACCTCATGAGAAGAAAAGACTCCCTGGAAAAGACCCTGATGTTGGGAAAGATGGAGGGCACGAGGAGAAGGGGACAACAGAGGACGAGATGGTTGGACAATGTTCTCAAAGTTACCAGCATGAGTTTGACCAAACTGCGGGAGGCAGTGGAAGACAGGAGTGTCTGGCGTGCTCTGGTCCATGGGGTCACGAAGAGTCGGACATGGCTAAACGACTAAACAGCAACAACAAAAAGAATAAAGACACAACAGTCTACTTTATAAGGAATGATAAGGATTACTGACATCCAGTTCACAGTATGAGCCCTGAAGACAGGCTTTAGCTTATAGTTACAGAAGAGAGTGTGGGTGCACCCCATATGGGGTTTGAGCCCATGTGCTGCTGGCTGAGAACCAGCAGACAGCAAAAGACATCCAGAGAACAGCATCAAGAGAAAGAAAGAAGGTCAAGAAGAAGGGAAGGTGGCTGAGTGACCAGACTTTTATGGGGTCTCCCAGGGTCACATGCAGGGGCAGGATGCTCCAGACAAGTGTGACAGGAAGTCCTCCTGGATGGAGTAACATTCCCCTGTGTGTCCACTCTGGGCAAACAGGGAAATGTTGTACTTGACTGCTACATGTTACATCCCACAGACGTTGCCACGCAGGCGCAGTCTCCAGCTGCATGTAGGCGCATAAACTGATGGAAGGGAGTGGCCCCCTGTTGCTGCAACTGCTCCATAGAGTGCAGACCTGGGAAGAGCTGCCTAGACGCTAGATTGCTGTGTGCAGGTATATAGGGATGCAGAAGCAACTGTGTTCACAATAAACGATAACTGACGTGTGGGTTCCTTTGGCTGGGAAGTACGCTTGACAAGAGGCTTGTGCATGCATGCGTGTGTGTGCATGCTCAGACACTGCTGCAAATGAATAAAAGAGTGCTGAAAACAAGATCTCGAATGTTCCTTTGAAGGTGGGGCTCGCTTACGGCACTGATCAGCTGATCGGCACTGCCAGCAAGCCCCACTGCGATTGGCCACAGTAAGGAGTTCCCCACTGGCGTTCTCCATCACTTTCAGTGAGCCCTTTTGAAGTTGCCACGTGATATCATAATGGCATTGGGTGACTGACAGGTGGGTTGTTCCACCTGCCCGTCACAAGGGCCTATGAGAGGTTGGAGACCATGAGGGCAGCCCAACTTCCCCTCTTTCTGGTCTTGGAGGAACTCTGCCTTATATATACAGTGGTACCTTGGAAGCCAAACGGAATCCATTCCGGAAGCCCGTTCGACTTCCAAAATGTTCGGAAACCGAGGTGCGGCTTCCGATTGGCTGCAGGAAGCTCCTGCAGCCAATCGGAAGCTGCGGAAGTCACGTCAGATGTTCGGGTTCCAAAGAACTTTCGAAAACCGGAATAATCACTTCCAGTTTTTGATCGTTTGGGAGCCAAAACATTTGACTCCCAAGGCGTTTGAAAACCAAGGTACAACTGTAAAGTGATATGCCTGCAGTTTTTCCACATTCATGCTAACAAATACACCCAAGTCAGTGGCAAAGCTTACCACCTTGATGCAGCCTTCCATATTTTTATTTTTAGGAAGCGTTTGGTGGAGCCGGTCTTTCAAATACGTTCTGTTGTATGTGTCTCTTTCTTTTGGAGGACCCTGGCAGCCACCTCCCACCAGCCTCGTTCTACCAACTTGTAGTCAACCCTTCCATACCCATATGTCACTGTGATGAGGTTCTCCCCTTTGCCAGAGATCAGCACAACTTTCTCATTACTGGTCGTAATCAACATTTTGGCATTATCCTGAACGCAACGGGGTTCCTGGGAGAACCGACTAACGGCTTCATCCAGGCAAGACCTTAGCTCCCGCCATTTCTGGAGTTTCAGCCTGTTCTTCACACGCAACAAGTTCTCCAAGCTTAGCGCCTCCACCCCAGTCTGCAAACGCTCCATGACCACATCCCAGTTGTCTACGTGGACTTCATATTTGGCCTCGCCTTGTTTAAAGAAGACCGAAATCTTATAGGTTTCCTGGCCGGAGACGAACCTCACCACCCGCCCACCACATTCCACCAACATCTCAGCATCCTTCTGGATGGTATCGGGTTCCATGCAGAATTTTTCCACTGCTAGGTCAAAGCAGGCCAAAGGAGAAAACCCTTTCCTAAAGGAACCCCAGTTATGTAGATGACCACGGATGCTAAGGATATTACTAAGGCTGAGAGGCTGCGGATTAGAGCAGAGACGAGCAAAGTAGAGGTCCCAGTTGGGTACCAAGACATTGTAGTGCACTTTGCCTTGATTGTGGAAGACTGTGACTGCGCACGAACCGTCGCCCGAGGTGAACTCCATCAGATTGCGCCCATCAGAAACGGTGAGATGGGCATTGCTTCTCACACATGGTGGCTCCCTCTGGAGGTTCTCCAGGGCGCAGCTGAAACAGGAGAACATTTTGCTGTTGGGTTCTTCCTTGGTCTTGGCCAACAGCATGTTCCGGAAAAAGAGGTCCGCTGAGAGAGAGGTTGGGATTCCATCAAATGCAGTCATCCTCGTTCAGATCCCTGCACCGGGACAATTAAAAAAAAATTAATTAAAGGACACTTAAATGCATGATTCAAGCTTTTCTAGAAATGAAAAGGTACCTATCACCCCCCTTGTTGGTTCCTTTGCTCTCCTTTTTTTTTTGTTGTTAGAGCGTTTATTGATTTTCCAATAAAAAACATCCAATTAACATTTCAAATCATAATCCAATAAAAATAAAAAAGATCAAATTGTCTTCCAAATTGTAATTTTGATTTTACGACTTCCCACAGTCTGAACCTCAAAGCATATCCAGATCTCAGTCCTGCCTCTCATCGATGTTTCCATATTTCCATATCTCGATTTAATCTCTCCAACCTTTGCTCTCCATTTGACCTGGGTAAACAGACTTTCCAACAAACAAGGCCTGCAGGGTAAATTAGACACACACCATCCTGGAGAAAGGACCATGGACTTCTGCTGTGAACGGGCTGCTAGAGGTAGGTAGCCGTGTTGGTCTGCCGTAGTCGAAACAAAATTAAAAAAAACTCCTTCCAGGAGCACCTTAGAGACCAACTAAGTTTGTTATTGGTATGAGCTTTCGTGTGCATGCACACTTCTTCAGATACACTGAAACAGAAGTCACCAGACCCTTACATATAGTGAGAGGGTGGGGAGGGGTATTACTCAGAAGGGAGGTGGGAATGGGTGATTGGCTGATAGGTGTGGTAAACCTGTTGACGACTGTTAAGGACTGCAATTGGTCTTACAGGAAAAAGCAAAGGGTGAGATGACTAAAAATAGCTTTATCGTGTCTAATGAGGTAAGAATCCAATGTCTCTATTCAGACCAGGTCTCTCCATGGTTTTAAGTTTGGTAATAAGTTGCAATTCAGCAACTTCTCTTTCCAGTCTGTTTCTGAAATTCTTTTGTAATAAGACAGCTACTTTGAGATCTTGTATAGAATGTCCTGGGGAGATTGAAGTGTTCTCCTAATGGTTTCTCTGTCTTGTGATTCCTGATGTCAGATTTATGCCCATTCTCTATTAGAAGCACACTCAAGGATTTACAGGGGTCCACATTATCACATTTATTGTGGCCCTTTGGGCCGCTACCACAACAGCAGGAGGGATAGATCTCCCCAGTGCTTCTTCACCAGCCTGGCTCATCTCTGCCTCTTGGCCACCCTCATCCCACTCTCCTGCTTCCACTTCTGCCTCTGATTCTGGACTCCTCTCTACCACAGACTCTTCCTGCTCACTAAGCCCTGTTGCCTCTTCTTCAGCTTCTGACACCTCCTCCCTCCCAATCTGCTCCCTCTTCTCCCTCTGACCACTCAGTTGGTGCCACCCAACAATCCACTGTGACCTAACAGTCCGTGACAGTTGACCAGTGAGTTGACCAGTACTCTGACTCACTGTAAGGCTACTTCCTGTGTTCCTATGTAAATATACTGTACCCCCCTGTCTCTCTCTCTCGCTCATCTATCTATCTATCTATCTATCTATCTATCTATCTATCTATCTATCTATCTCTGGCCTTTGGGACTCTCTCAAGCCACACTCCCTCCTCAGCCACATCCACTGTCCCCAGGCCACACACCTTAGCCTGCTTCGCACCCTTCCCTGAATGCTTTTCCCTGGTCCTTGAATGAGTCCTTGAACTCTGATTCTGCTTTTCACCTGCCTGAGTTGGGGGACAGAGAGTGGTTCACAGATATGTGTAGAAATGAGCCCAGCATACAAAGGTAAAAATTAGCACTCGCTGATCTTCCCGCGTTTGGCCTGGCCTACATCAAACGTTTGCCCGGAAGGGAATAATACGGCCTTTGGGCTGAAAAACATCAACCCCACCCCCCGCAATTATATTAAGAAGAGCAGGAGTTAACCAACATTTTTTGTAAAATAGACAAAGGTTTTTGTTGTTGTGTTTATTCTGCAAAGAATACTTGTCAGCCTGAATTATGCTGACATTTATCTTTTGCCCCTCCCTCCCTCCCACCTTGTCCCATTAATAATAATAATAATAATAATAATAATAATAATAATAATAATTTTTTATTTATACCCCGCCCTTCCTGGTTCAAAAACCGGGCTCAGGGTGGCTAACAACAAATTTAAAACACTTAATTATAAAAGCAGCATAAAATACAGTATAAAAACATGAATAACAATGAAATTCAAAAATCAAAAATCAATTAGATAATCCCCAGGGTTAGCTGGCTGAATTGGTCCTGTAGCCTTTCAGGCCTTTCCCATGGGTAGGATGAGCATTGCTCCCGGGGAAGGGAGGAAGGAGTCAAACAGACAACGAGGGCTTAATTCAGAGAAAGAGTCTTTATTCCTGCTAGCCGGAGTAGCAGAAAGGAACCTGTGTTCACAAGCAAGTTCACCTGAAAGCATTTTACATTCAGTTTATATCCCTTTTTTCAGGCCCTTTTCCTTCCCTCCCCTTTCCCAGGGATCCAGCCTCACGAGTTTGCACAGGTATGTTGGCAGAAACAATCTCCATTTATGATGAATAGAATTGTTTCTATCTGGTTCTCCTGGCGCCATTCCCGGGGTCTGTGCGCCAGCGCTGAGAAGGTTGCAAAGTTGGATATGCTGCTGGCAAGACCAACTGAAAGCCTGGGAAACAGAAAGCTTCGTTCTCTCAGCTTCTTTTTGTTACAGCATAGCAAATGCTTTTTAGCTACTGAATCCTCAAAGAAAGTAATTGGGAAGTCTTGAGGCCTAGTTGAAGTTTTGAGGCCTAGGTGGGGTGACTTCACAGTCAGGTTTGGGGAAACCCTCCCTTCAGTCCTACTTGGGCCAGCGAGGAGACCAGGGGAGAATTAGCTGTGGGGTCTCAGAGCGGGTGATCTTCATAAAAGGGGAGGGGGAGGGAAGAGAAGGGAAATAAAAGTTCAGGCTGAATTCAAATTAAAGGCCAGGTGGAATAGGTCTGTCTTACAGGCCCGACGGAAGGAGGTTAAATCCTGAAGGGCCCTGGTTTCATGGGACAGAGCATTCCACCAGGTCGGAGCCATCACTGAGAAGGCCCTGGCCCTGGTGGAGGATGGTCTGACTTCCTTAGGGCCCGGGACCTCTAAACTATGGTTATTCATGGACCTTACGGTCCTCTGCGGGGCATACCAGGAGAGGCGGTCCCGTAGATACGAGGGCCCTAAGCCACAAAGGGCTTTAAAGGTCAAGACCATTGTTTTCTCCCCCACCCCCAGAATTCATATGGTCATCCTCCAGGGCAGCAATCTTTTTTAAAAAATATTTTTTAATGAATTTCAGCACCATGAAGATTTCAATATTGACTGAGGGTGGCTGAGGGGGAGGCAGTGGGCAGAGGCCAGCCCCATGTTGCTTTTTTGGGTGGGGAGCCACTTCATCCCTCCCAGCAGAGACACCGTGGCTCAGGCTCACTGCAGGCCCAGTGCCACTCGCAGGGTCAACACATGCCAGTTGCGCCCTTCTCAGCTGCCCTCTGGCATGGGGTGGTGGGGGACCCAGCAGCTCAGCGCCCTGCAAGCACAGCCCCAGGCCGGGCTACTTTGGGGAGTGGGATGCCGTGCTCTGAAGTGCCTTGACTTGGGTGTCACCTTGGGCTCCAGCATGCTGCCCCCAAGGTAAGTGCCGCCCAGTGCACCCCGCCCCCCCCAGCTATGTGACTGCCCCCACTTCAACCCTGAACAATTTTTTCAATTGTTTATTTTTCTTTATTGAAAGTTCAAAAAGTACATAATTATATGTACACTAAACATAAAGGGAAAGGGAAAGGGACCCCTGACCGTTAGGTCCAGTCACGAACAACTCTGGGGTTGCGGCGCTCATCTCGCTCTATAGGACGAGGGAGCCGGCGTTTGTCCACAGACAGCTTCCGGGTCATGTGGCCAGCATGACTAAGCCGCTTCTGGCGAACCAGAGCAGCGCACGTAAACGCCGTTTACCTTCCTGCTGGAGCAGTACCTATTTATCTACTTGCACTTTGATGTGCTTTCGAACTGCTAGGTTGGCAGGAGCAGGGACTGAGCAGCGGGAGCTCAACCCATCGCAGGGATTCGAACCACCGACCTTCCGATTGGCAAGCCCTAGGCTCACTGGTTTATTTTCTTTCCAATTTTTTTTATTGATTTTCCACATTTATCACAAAATGACATAACAAAGAAACACAAAACACACAACAAAGAAAAACACATTACAATACAATAAAATTAAACATAAAAATAAATTATTTCTTCTAATACCTAATTTTCATAACATTGATAGCTGACTTCCTCGAATCCCTCTAACTGAATTTCATTATATCACATTTATAACAATTCTCCAAGTTCATATTTCTAATAATATTAACTCCTTTCATTTACTTATCTCTTCTCCTTTATTAATCTTCTAATCCTTAATGTTTACTACCACATATCCTTATTCTACCCCTAGACCTATTTGTTACTTCCAAGTAGGCTCAGTGGTTTAGACCACAGCGCCACCCGCCACTAAACATGGTGAGACGTAAATAAAAGACAGAGAAAGAAAAAGAGAAACAGAACCTGTGTAGAAAGGAAAATAAAGAGGGGAAGGGGACCCAAAGCTGTATACTTTACAAGGTTGTTATTGTAGTCCACCGGATCTTAGAATATACTTGACCCCGTCATGTTTGTTTAAAAAAGAGCTATCTAAGGCATCTAACTGTTGGAGATGCAACAGGGATAATGCTTCTCTAAAACACATGTGTGGTTTTTTTCCATTGTCCTATATTGAAATATTTTTGGTAGAGGGTAACTGAAACTATCAACAGAACTGCAAGGAACGACTTTACATTTACAGAGCAAAATATCCTTTTGAATTATATTCCCAGCACATGGAACCTTACAAAAGGACAATATGAGTGGACTCTCTGTGCCCTTTCCACAGCAAAAAGACTGATACTGATGAATTGGAAAAAATAAAAATGCGTCTCCCTTCTATGATTGGACTGAAGACTTATACAAACTCAAAATATACAAACAACTTGCATATAAACGCAGACTTGCCATGGAGAAATTCAATGATATTTGGAATCCATTCTTACAAATACTGTAATAGGTTAACCCTGAACATTTTTTAAAATAAAAAGAAACATTGACTCAGGAGATAGATCTACATTTATTGTTTGTTTGTTTGTTTGTTTGTTTGTTTGTTTGTTTATCCCCAGATGGCTGAGTCTAAAAATCACTAGGATTGAGGAGGCATCAAAGGAAGGCTCTATCTTACCTTAATTCTCTGCTTTGAATCGGAAGCTGATCTACAGTTGGTTGTCAACAGATTACTTGGTGAGATCTAGGAAGAGGAGAAAATGATGTGTGACTTATGACAGATCTTCAGCCTTGACAATTGAAGGAGCATTGCCATAGGCCTCTGCTCTCCTGAGGCTGAACGCCATTTGGCTTAGCCAATACGCAGCACAGCATTGCGGGAAGCCAGCAAATCGCCACTGCTTGTATCCCTACTGGCCTCAAAGTTCGTAAGTCTTGTGAGAACTGGGAAGAAGGGAAGGAAGTCTACTCAATACCAACCTAAAATTGCAGCAAGGAGGTTCTCTCTTTCTTTCTTTGCTGCATTTCAAACCACATTGGCGCCTTGTTGTACACATCAGCACAGTTTGATGTGTATACAAGGGCATATTCACAGTAATGGTGCATTTCACAGCTCCCCCCCCACCAGCTGTTCACATCAGCATGGCTTCATTAGTGTCAGATTCATTTCTTTCGGCCTACACACCAGGAGGCATTAATGGGGATTTCTTCCCCACTATGCAAATATGTCCTAATAGTGGTACCTCAGGTTACAGACGATTCAGATTGCAGACGCTTCGGGTGACATACGCTTCAGGTTACAGAATCCGCTAACCCAGAAATAGTACCTCGGGTTAAGAACTTTACCTCAGGATGAGAACAGAAATCGCGTGGCGTCAGCAGGAGGCCCCATTAGCTAAAGTGGTACCTCAGGTTAAGAACAGGACCTGCGGAACGAATTAAGTTCTTAACCAGAGGTACCACTGTACTATAGCTAGAGATGAACAAGGAATGGCTTAAGGCAGAGGTTTTGAACTTTTCTAAATCCAACTGCAGCTCCCCTGTGGGGCTCAGGAGCCCAGTTATGTCACCCCTTGCCTGCAGGGCCGGTAGTCCCTCACCCCTTTTCAGATACACTCCCTTGTAGAGGGTTCCCTCAGCTTCCTCTCCTCTGTCCTCTTCTTGGGAGTCCTCTGGGCAGTCACCACTGCTGCCCCGGTCTCTGAGCTGGCCCCCACCCCAAAGAGAAGTGCCTTCTCACACCACCCCACAGGGGGCTGTGAAGAGGATGCCCCCAGCCTTAGTGGCTCAACAGAGACTGGCCAAAGGTAGACGTGAGGCCAGCATTTTACCTTGGGAGGCGGCAGCGGCAGCAGTGGGCATTGCCAGGCCTGCAAAGTGGAAAGGCTCCCCTTCAGCACCGGGCACTCAGCTCCCACAGCAAGCACACAAAAGGCCAGCGTGGCATCTGCTTGCCTGGCCTCCCACTTGTCTGTCCATTCCCAACAGCAAGGGCTGGCGGACCGGCTGGCTGGGCTCTCTCACCCACTTGCTTGCTTACTCCAAGACAGCCTCGGCTCCTGGCAACCAGCACCCCCTGGCCAGCCCCAGAGGCACCATTCTCCTGGGGAGCTTGCAGCCAGGGCTGCTGCAACAAACAGCTGCACAAGCCTTTGGGAGGCAGACCTGCAAGAGGAGGGAGGGAAGGAAAGAGGGACAGAGGCCGATGTTGCCAGCAGCACCCCGACCATCATTCAAGGCACCCGAGGGTGCCATGGCACATTGGTTGAAAACCACTGACTCAAGGACTGCAATTGGTGCTAGTTTGGGAAGCAATGCATACAACAGCAGGATGTCATAACCAAGGCCGTCTTACCCATAGGTGCTAGGGGTGCAGGGCACCCGGGCTCTGGGCTCTCAGGGGCACCAGGCTGGGAAGAGCCCGCCCACCGGTCGGAGTGCCGCAGTGGGCTCTTCTGCTGTGGGCGGATCTGCACCACGAGTTTGGGGGCAACCGAGCCAGCAAGAAGCTGAGGCGGCTGGCCGGCTCCACTCTCCTGTGCACCTGGGACTGGGCAACCGGGGGGGGGCAATGGGTGGATTTTTACACCCCGGCGCCGCATATGCTTAAGACAGCCCTGGCCATAACAAAGTACGGGATACATATGCAATTGGAATGATGTTGTGTGAACATGAATTAACACTCCCCCCACACTGGAAACACAGTGAGTGGACATTAAACGGGAGTGTGAACAGAGCCTAAGTCACCTGCTTTATGTCCACACCAGAGGGCTCACTTTTTCTTCACCCTAATTTAGAACCAAATTGTGGTAGGGGTTTTTTTGAGAGGGAGTGGAAGAATGCATCAAAGCGCAGTGTTTCACAAGAAACTGCAGGATAGGTGCGGAATTTGTATACACAGCTAACCAAACAAGTTAGTGCTGGATGCACTGTTGTTGTTGTTTAGTCGTTTAGTCGTGTCCGACTCTTCGTGACCCCACGGACCAGAGCACACCAGGCACTTCTGTCTTCCATTGCCTCCCGCACTTTGGTCAAACTCATGCTGGTAGCTTCAAGAACACTGTCCAACCATCTCGTCCTCTGTCGTCCCTTTCTCCTTGTGCCCTCCATCTTTCCCAACATCAGGATGCAGCCAGATATGAGCTGTGGCTTTGTGCTGGTCCCGGGGGGGGGGGGTTACCGTGAGGCGTGGTCAGAGTCTGGTCCTGGGCTGAGGGTCTGGAGACTGTCCACCAAGGGGGAAACAGGGTCCAAAGCAAGAAGCCGGGCGTGGTCGGGAACTCTGGAAAAACAGGTCTGGGTGCTGGCAGAAACAGGTTTCCAACGTCATTGCTCCCGCAACCTGGGACTGGGCTGACTGGCCTTTATCTCCTCTGGGGCCTAGGGCGGTCCCGGCCCACAGGTGACTCGCCTCTCCTGGCCTTAAGGCGAGCACTCCTCCTGAGAGAACCTAGTTCCCTCTGCCTCTCTGCCCTGAGCCTCTGCAGCTCAGGAGAGGCTGGAGGGTTACTGGACCCAGAGGCAGCCTCACCTTCTCCTGACAGAGCTGGGAGAGGAGCACCTGCAGGCAATGGGTCCTCAATCACCTCCGGAGCCAGAGTGGATTCATCTGGTGTCTGCTCCTGAGGATTCGGCACAGGTGCAGGCCCTTCAGATTCAAGCCCCTGCCCCGCCTCCCCTGGAGGCGGGGACTCCTGTGCAGGCTGGGATTCCTCCGGTTCAGCCTCTGAATCAGATTCCCAGGCCATAACAGGCTTATTCCCATCCTCTTTCTCTTTCGCCTTTTGGTGTTATCTGTTGCTAGTATAGAAAAGGGAGGGAGGTTTGTGCAGTGGATGCTTGTGGGCTGCAATTCATGCTGCTCAAGGTGAGAGTCTGGATGAGGTGAAGACTGACTGAACCATGTTAATAGAGCTGTGGTTTGTTATTTGGCCTTTCTAATGGACCTTGGTGTGTGTGTGGGTGGGTGGGTGTTCTGTTCCTCCTCTGGAGTTGAAAACATCCAGTGAAAAGTGGGTTATAATTGCTCCTAATAAATGTCTTCTGGGCCAGGCCAGAATATAAAGCAGGTTAAGGAACAGCTGGAACTCTTATCTTTGGACAGTAAATTACATTTTAGTCTTGCCAAAGGCCAGGAGTTCTTTCTGCATTCACACACCCTGCAACCAGATGAGCAAGAGCCATTTTCGCATTTCGATGACATGTTCCAGTTAGGCAAAAGAGCTTGAGGAGGGTGTCCTCCCCCCATCCAGACCTCTTCCTTCTTCAGAGCTTTCTCTGTCGCTTATGGCAGGGAGGTCCTTGACACTTTGTATTTATATATTTCGGCTCTTTATATAACAATCACTGGATTATTATTATTATTGCCTCCTCTTTTTTCTTCCTCTTCTCTTCTTCCTTCCCCTTCCTCTCCTCCTCCTTTTTCTTCTCCTTTTTCTTCTCTCCCTTTTTCTTCTCCTCTTCCCCCCCTCCTTTCTCTTCCTTCTCCTCCTCCTCTTCTTATTCTTCCCCCTCTTCTTTTTCTCCTCCTCCTTCCTCCTCCTCCTCCTCCGATGTATTATTCACTCGCCACATAAGGAATCTGCAAGTGACTTACAAAACTTTGAAAACTTCAAAAGCATAAATCACAACATAAAATCAGAAAAAGCACAATGCATTGCAACGAAATCCACACGATAACCTTTAAAAAAACTGCAAGAACTTCAGCAGCAGAGCAGAAACAAATGACAGTAAGATTATCCGACTCCGTCAAATGCATGGGAGAAGAAATATGGTTTTGCCTGGCTTGAGGTAGGGATGGGAGAGGGCAAAGTGGATTCAGTTCTCATGTGAGCTCCCTGATCTGCACTTTCTGAAACAATTCATGAACCAAAACACAGACATATTTTGGGAATTTGCACTTTTCTGAATTTTGCAGTGTCGCTCTTCAGCTGAGTGTTGTGTGCAAAATTGCATAGACTTGAGCAAAGTATGCCTAGAAATGGATTACTTTGGGGAAAATGCATTACAGAAAATAACACTGTGCAAAGAGTGTGTCTATTATGCAAAACTGCATAGATAAATGTGCGTATTAGAAGCAATTCAAACTAAAATGCTGGTGGATTTTGAGGACTTTTTTTCCCTTTTTTTTCAAGAATTGCAAACTGATGTGAAGAACTGAAGAGTGGACCGGGCCAGACTAAGAGAGAGCGGACAGGACAGATTTCCCCACCCCTAAAGCCAGGTAGACCTCATTATAGAATCTATATCTGTCACACCGAAGTTTAGAAATGATTTGGAGTCGAGGGGAACGAAGGAAAGGGAGAGGTGTGATGCGTCTTAGGGATAACAAAAGGTTAGATTCTGTTTTCCCTGCCGATTAGGTTCTTACTCTTAAAATAACGAATTGATTTTATTTTATTTCTAGAAATCATTTTTTGTTTTATTTGTAGAATAAAATAATTTCATTTCTAGAAATAACTAGAAATTACTACCCCAGATGGCTCCCCTCCCCTAAAATAAGCCCTTTGCAGGTACCTTTGAGTTTCTCTTCTGAGTGGGAAGGAGGGTCAGACAGATGCGATGTGAAGGGTGTGAAGATTAAGCTCTGTCCTTACTGCTTCTCTGGCGCTGAAAACAGTGATAATAAAACACCTTTGGTCCCTTCCCTGAGCATGGTCTAAGTTTCGAATTCCCCAAAATGACGTTCCTGACTGATATCCAGCACTTGCGAAACATCCACACAAGCCTCTGGCAGTCTACCAGTAGGGGATGTGCAGATCAAGAGATGGAGAGAGAGGGACAGAGAGACAGAGCGAGAAGGAGAAGGAGAAGGAGAGAGAGAGAGAGAAAGAGAAGGAGAAGGAGGGAGAAAGAGAAAGAGAAAGAGAGAGAAAGAAAGAGAAGGAGAAGGAGAGAGAGAGAGAGAGAGAAGGAGAAGGAGGAGTTTAAGCAAAGAAGTGGGGTGAAAGTCAATCATCTTGAGGAATTCTTTTTTTAAATAATATTTATTATTTTTCCAAAAACTTAAACACTAAAAAGAAGAAAAACAATACAATACAACACATCAAATTAACAAAACAAGACAAAGACAATAAGATAAATCAAACAATTTCATTATCCCATCTTTCATTCACTTATTTCCACGACCTCCTCACACCTCCCTTTTTGTATTCCACTTCTGTTAATTATTTCAACAATTCCTTTCCATCTTCCTCTGTTTTCTATCCTATAATTATCTTAACTCATTCTAACCTTATTTTTTCCTTTAATGCTCTATTAACCTATCTGTACTTAATTCCTTATAATATTTCTACTAAAGCCATATAACTTCATTCCAACATTTTTTCTAGCATTCATTAATTTTACAATATTTCTGTAGATAGTCTTTAAACTTTTTCCAATCTTCTTCCACCGACTCTTCTCCCTGGTCTCGGATTCTGCCAGTCATTTCCGCCAGTTCCATGTAGTCCATCAGCTTCATCTGCCATTCTCATCTTGAGGAATTAAGGCCATTGCAGAGCTAGGATGTGTGAGTCTACAACTTGCACAGACCTCATAGCAGTTCCTTCGCTCACAACTGCGCACAGCTACCAGCTGCATGGGGTGTTAGTGGGGGGTTAGTTCCTCTGGCGGGGGACACATGCTCATGCCACGACCCTTCCAGGGAAAAAGCCACTGGTAGTGCTGGGTGGGGGACGGGTGCCCCCCCCAAAAGACATTACTAAATACTGCCATTGCTATTTCTCTACTTTTCATTTAATGCCTTTCAAAAAAGAAAGAGAAATATGGCGCCTTTTTGGTAAGGTCGCACTTTGCACGTGGTCATGTGGTCATGGCCAGTGCTCCCCCCCCAATAAAATGTTTAAGGGTACTCTCATTTTCCTACTCATATTGAAATACTGCCCCCTCAATGAGGCCAAACTTAGATTTGCAAAGTGTTTAGGGGTATGCGTACCCCTGCGTCCCCCCCACCCCGAGAAAAAGCACTGGTCATGGCTAATCTTCTGCCCTCATTTGCGGAGGCGAAGCTGTTTCCTAGCAAATGGCACTCTGCATACAGACGGCATCTTTTAATAGGGAAAAATGGTCCCGGTACTCACCAGGAAGTTGTTATAGTACCGTATTTTTCGCTCCATAAGACACACTTTTTTCCTCCTAAAAAGTAAGGGGAAATGTCTGTGTGTTTTATGGAGCGAATGGTGGTCCCTGGAGCCGAATAACCCAGGGGCGAAAAGCAGATCGTGCTTTTTTTTTTTAGAAAGAGGGAAGGGGGTGTTGAAACAGAGCCGCTGAGCAGCTGATCGGCAAGTGATTGGGAGGGAGATAAGGGACTCTAGCGATAAAGGAGGCTGCCTGGGAGGGGGGAGGTAAAGACAGTGAACTTGCTAGGAGAGGAGACAGGAACACTAAAACAAGCAATGAGGAGAGAAGTTAGAAGAAAAGGAGGAGCAAAAAACTGCTCCAGCTAAGGAAAACAAGAGGGAAGGGGGTGTTGAAACAAAGCCGCTGAGCAGCTGATTGGCAAGCGATCAGGAGGGAGATAAAGGATGCTAGCGATAAAGGAGGCTGCCTGGGAGGTGGGAGGAAAAAGCAGGATTTTTGCACTGGGTCACCCCAAATTCACCATCAGATCACATAGCATGTCCATGGCTACAGCCTGCACCAAAAAAATCACACATCCACTGTTTCGTGGGGCTGCAAAAACGTGGTTACAAAGCACGGCTCCACATGGATTCTCAGGATTTTTGCATTGGGCTAGCCCAAACTCACCATCAAATCACATGTCTGTGGCCACAGCATGAACCACAAAAATCATACATCCACTGTTTCTTTCAGAATATTTTTTTCCTTGTTTTCCTCCACTAAAAACTAGGTGCGTCTTATGTTCGGCGCCTTATGGAGCAAAAAATACGGTAAGTGCCACACTCTTAACATTTTTGGGGGAAAGGTACATGTACTGCGTACCCTTGAGTAACCCCAGAAAAGAATGTTCATTATGCACGCAGTATGCATGTTCAATATGCATGCAACCATCCGCCACAAACTTTGAGGTGACTAGAAAAAGGGCAAAAGCAGTCTTAAAAGGGTGCAGAAAGGGCAAAAATGGCATGAAAACAGTGTCTAGCAATCCCATGAGCCTTTGCAAGTGCAATCCCAGGAGCCATTGCACTGATGGTTGAGGCCTGTGGAGAGTTGGAGAGAATTTGAGCAAGGAGGTTTGGAGGGAGCCACGACCACCATTCATGCCAGTCCTCTAAGTGCTACTGGTTTTTTAAAAGGTTATTCTAGGATTTTTAGAGGTTTAGAGGGTGTTTGCAGGACTTTTCAATGGGTGTTCCCAATATATGTGATTTCACTGCCTCGGAACATGATCCCCACGTAAAATGGTCGTCGCCTCTAACTGTGGGGATAGGAACCACCGCTTTTGATAGGAAAATGTATGTTTTTCTTCCATACAAGAAAAAGGGAGTTAAGAAGCCTCCGTGGTATGCATAGCAAAAGCAAGAGAGTAGGGGCTGGATTGGAGAATGCGGGCATCGATCCCGCTACCTCTCGCATGCAAAGCGAGCGCTCTACCATTTGAGCTAATTCCCCAGTTGCCTGGTTCCATTGGCCCAGACATACACAAAAAGAGGCAGATCTCAGAAAGGGTGCAGAAAGTGACTGAGGGAGGATTTGTTGTTGCTCGTGGGTGTGGCCAGGATTTATGATAGGGGGGAGCCCAAAAAGTTTTTGAGCTTTTTTTGGGGGGAGAGATCGACCCAAAAAATTGTTGCCCTTTTTTTGGGAGATCACAGGTAAAAACACCCCCCCCCAAAAGAGGACATTACAGGGGGCAGGCTTCTGCTGGGGAGGGGTAGAAGCTCAGTCAATTCAGTATTTTTGGTGCTTTTCTATACTTTTTGAGGTACCGTATTTTTTGCTCCATAAGACACACCTGACCATAAGGCACACCTAGTTTTTAGAGGAGGAAAAAAATATATATATTCTGAACGAAACAGTGGTTCAAGCTGTGGCCACAGACATGTGATCTGAGGGTGAATTTAGGGTGACCCAATGCAAAAATCCTGAGGATCCATGTGGATCCGTGCTTTCTAGCCACGTTTTTGCGCCATTGCGGCCCCAGGCAACAGTGGGTGCGTGATCTTTTTAGTGCAGGCTGTAGCCATGGACATGCTATGTGATCTGATGGTGAATTTGGGGTGACCCAATGTAAAAATCCTGAGGATCCATGGGGTTTTACCTCCCCCCTCCTTTATCCTTTATCGCTAGCATCCCTTATCTCCCTTACTGATCAGCTGCTTCCTTTCAACACCCCCTTCCCTCTTGTTTGCCTTAGTGTCTTTTCCTTAGCTGGAGCAGTTTTTTGCTCCTCCTTTTCTTCTAATTTCTCTCCTCATTGATTTGGTCTTCCAAATGGCAATTCGGCTCCAGGGACCACACATTCACTCCATAAGACGCACAGACATTTCCCCTTACTTTTTAGGAAGAAAAAAGTGTCTTATGGAGCGAAAAATACGGTATGTTGTTGTTGGCATCCATCCATCTCAGGAGACAATGAAAAAGTGCGCCATTGGGAGGGGGCATCAAGCTGTTGAACGGATGCAGCGCCTATTGGAGCTGTAGGGACCAATACAGGAGAGACAGGCATCCAGTTGTGCTGACGCAGATGCACTGTGGCATTTGTTCTCTCTGCGTTCCTCCCAGCGGTCATTCCTCTTCTGGCCGCTGCTGTGGATGCACAACCTGACTGTCTGTCTCCAGGCACTGCAGTCGTCTGCAAGGGATTCCCAGACGGCGGGGTTGACGTTGACAGCCTTCATGCCCCGTTGGCAGACGTCTTTGTAACACAGAGTTGGTCTCCTGATGGGCCTGGTGCTTGAAGCCAGCTCCTTGTACAACACATCCTTGGGGAGCCTGCCATCTTCCATTCTGTGGACATGACCAAGCCAGCATAGTTGTCGTCTAAACAGGAGTGTGAACGTGCTGAGAATGGGGGCTTGGAGGAACACACCTGAAATATACTCGGAGTCGAGTGTGAATTTCATGTTCTTCATTCAGCTTGTAGTAGCAATGAATGAAACTTTCCCCAAAACATCTAGTTATATATATATAACTCTCTCTCTCTCTATATATATATTATTTACACAATGGGCGCCACATGATTGGCTAATTCCGGGCTGCTCCTGTAGGCCAATCAGGTTTGCAGATTCACTTCCTCCAGAGGCCTGATTGCCTGCTCCTGCAGGCCAATCAGGTCGCTGATTCACTTCCACCTGCAGCTGGATTGGGTGGCTCCTGCGGACCAATCAGACTGCTGCATTCTGAATCCTATTGTTCTAGAATTCAGCTCAGTACATAACAACACCTTTGTTTGAAACTCTGTTCTGCCAAGTAATACCCAAATTCTTCCTGACGTGGCAGCTATTGATGCGCCACTCCTGAGGGTGATAGGTTGCCCATGACTCACTTCCATAAAGCAGTGTGCTCACTGATAGACCTTCATCTTGGTATTGGAGCCCCTGTTGTGTGCATGTCAAAAAGAAGAGAGCGGAGGCTGGATTGGAGAATGCGGGCATCGATCCCGCTACCTCTCGCATGCAAAGCGAGCGCTCTACCATTTGAGCTAATTCCCCAGTTGCCTGGCTCCATTGGCCCAGAAATACAGAAAAAGAGGCAGATCTCAGAAAGGGATCCAGAAAGGGACTGAGGGAGGATTTGTTGTTGCTCATGGGCGTGGCCAGGATTTATGATATGGGGCAGCCCAAAAAGTTTTTGAGCTTTTTTTGGGGGGGGAGATCATGCCCCAAAATTTGTTGCCCTTTTTTGAGAGATCACAGGTGAAAATCCCCCCAAAAGAGGACATTACAGGGGGCAGGCTTCTGCTGGGGAGGGACAGAAGCTCAGTTAATTGAGTATTTTTAGTGCTTTTCTATACTTTTTGACATATGTTGCTGGTGGCATCCATCTGTCTCAGGAGACAATGGAGAAGCGTGCCATTGGGTGGGTGGGGGGTGTCAAGCTGTTGAACGGGTGCAGTGACTATTGGGGCTGTAGGGACCAAAACAGGAGAGACAGGCATCCAGTTGTGGTGCTGAAGATGCACCATGGCGTTCCTTCTCTCTGTGCTCCTCCCAGCAGTCATTCCTCCTCTGGCCACTGCTGTGGATGCACAACCTGACTGTCTGTCTCCAGGCATTGCAGTCGTCTGCAAGGGATTCCCAGACGGCGGGGTTGGTGTTGCCAGCCTTCATGCCCCGTTTGCAGACGTCTTTGTAACACAGAGTTGGTCTGCCGATGGGCCTGGTGCTTGAAGCCAGCTCCTCGTACAACACATCCTTAGGGATCCTGCCATCTTCCATTCTGTGGACATGACCAAGCCAGTGTAGACGTCGTCTAAACAGGAGTGCGAACGTGCTGGGAATGGGGCCTTGGAGGAACACACCTGAAATATACTCAGAGTCGAGTGTGAATTTCATGTTCTTTATTCAGCTCGTAGTAGCAATGAATTAAACTTTCCCCAAAACGTCTAGCTATATATATATATATATATATATATATATATATATAATTTACACAATGGGCGTCGCATGATTGGCTAATTCCGGGCTGCTCCTGTAGGCCAATCAGGTTGCAGATTCACTTCCTCCAGAGGCCTGATTGGATGCTCCTACAGGCCAATCAGGTTGCTGATTCACTTCATCCAGGAGCCTGATTGGCTGCTCCTGCAAGCCAATCAGGTTGCGGATTAACTTCCACCTGCAGCTGGATTGGGTGGCTCCTGCGGACCAATCAGACTGCTGTATTCTGGATCCTATTGTTCTAGGATTCAGCTCAGTACATAGCAACACCTTTGTTTGAAACTCTGTCCTGCCAAGTGATACCCAAATTCTTCCTGATGTGACAGATGTGGAAGCTATTGAGGCACCACTCCTGAGGGTGATAAGTTGCCCATGACTCACTTTCATAAAAAAGTGTGCTCAACACGCTCACTGGTAGACCTTCATCTTGGTATTGGAGCCCCTGTTGTGTGCATGTCAAAAAGAAGAGAGCGGAGGCGGGATTGGAGAATGTGGGCATCGATCCCGCTACCTCTCGCATGCTAAGCGAGCGCTCTACCATTTGAGCTAATTCCCCAGCTGCCTGGCTCCATTGGGCCAGACATACAGAAAAAGAGGCAGATCTCAGAAAAGGGTCCAGAAAGGGATCCAGGGAAGCTTTGTTGAATGCCTGGCAAAAGGAAGAGGTCATGAGGTTTGCTGGAGAAAGCGGGCATCGATCCCGCTACCTCTCACATGCTAAGCGAGCGCTCTACCATTTGAGCTAATTCCCCAGTTGCCTGGCTTCAATGGACCAGACATACTGAGAAAGAGACAGATCTCAGAAAGGGATCCAGAATGGGATTCATAGAGGTTTTGTTGAAAGTATGGCAAAAGGAAGAGCTTGTGAGCTTATCTGGAGAATGTGGGCATCGATCCCACTACCTCTCGCATGCTAAGCGAGCGCTCTACCATTTGAGCTAATTCCCCAGCTGCCTGGCTCCATTGGCCCAGAAATACAGAAAAAGAGGCAGATCTCAGAAAGGGATCTAGAAAATGTATCAGGAAAGCTTTGTTGAATGTCTGGCAAAAGGAACAGGGCAGAGGCTCAGCTGGGGAATTCAGGATTCGATCCTTCTACCTCTCGCGTGCAAAGTGATCGCTCTACCATTTGAGCTAATTCCCCAGCTGCCTGGCAGACCTTTTCCTGTGCCTGCTTATGACCCAGATGCCTGAGCGCGGATCTTTCTCTCACCTCTCCAGGGAGTGATGGGACTCCAAAAGTGCTTCTCTATTTGTAAAACCTTGCCATTGGGAGAAGAGAGGGCGAGACTCTGCAAAATCTTCTCGGGGGGGGGGAGGAGTGGGACCGTTTGCAGAGCTGGCTCATCGCCTGCAGGCCGGCTCTGGGTGCCATGCGATGTTGAAATAGTGATGGCAAGGGATGACACCCCAAAGTGCAAGCAAAGAGTTAAACTTTTAAAGCTGCAGGTGGGTGTAGTCTGAGAGGTCCCTCAGGATGCAGAGCTATCAGGTTTGCGGTCTGAGAGGGCTCATGGACTCAATTTTTCTCCTGTATGGCCAGGTGTGTCTTTGGTCCACTGAGGCTGCACGGGGTCAGCTCTCACCATCTTTAAGGTGATATACACGGCCACCAAGTCTCTCCTATTCTTCTGTTTGTGTTGTATACAGGAAAATCTACTAGCCTCATGTTCTGCAGAGCAAAAGGAGGAGGAGAAATTTAGCTGGGTATCAGTGCCAATACCTCTTACATACTAAGAGACTATTCTTCTGTTGGAGACAAAACCTGAGCTGTCTGCCATTGCTGGCTCATGCATGACAAATCCAAGATGTCACACAGAACATGTTTCTCTATCTATCTATCTATGGGAGACAGGAGTCATTTTCACAATAACCTTCCAATCAAATAATTACACTGTTTCATAATTTGACTTCCCACCCTCACCTCCACAGCATTTTTACTCAAACTTTTCCACTGCATTCTATCTTTATCTATTACAAAAAGTTTCTCCATTACAGTTATATTATCATTTTTCTTCCGCTGCTTTTATCTCGAATCCTGCCCGCAATTTCATTTGACTGTAATATTTTTTTAAAAAAATAGTCCACAAAAGGCCTCCATTCTTCTATAAAAAGTTCCTTGTTTTGATCTGTTAATTTTGCTGTCAGCGTTGCTATTTCTGCATAGTCCATTAGTTTCAAAAGCCACTCTTCCTTTACTGGAACTTTCTCTTCTTCCCATATCTGTAAATACAATATTCTAGCTGCTCCATCCCTATTACACCAATAAGGAAACCTTCTGGTCTCTGGGGAATAGCCCATTTAAACATTTTCTTCATTACACAGAACGTGTTTCAGCCAGGTATGTATGGCAAAAGAAAGAGAAGGGAGGCTTGCCTGGAGAATGCGGGCATCGATCCCGCTACCTCTCGCATGCTAAGCGAGCGCTCTACCATTTGAGCTAATTCCCCAGCTGCCTAACATCACCAGTCTTAGACATACAAAAAAGAGAGGAGGGAGCAGACTTTAGAAATGGATCCAGAAAAAATGATCCAGGGAGGTTTCGTAGGCAAAAGGAAAAGAGTAGAAGATTGGTTAGAGAACGAACGCGTAAGTCCTGCTGCCTCTTGCATGCAAAACGAGCACTTCACCATTTGAGCTGATTGCCCAGCAGAACCATCCAAAAGTATCTCCAAGAAAGAGACAGAACTTAGATGCCGTTGGAGCAGTGGTGGCCAAGGATGGCACCCCACAGTGCAGGATAAGGGTTACTTTTTAAGCAGTTTGTGGGTGCAATGACAGTGGCCACTCAGGGTGCAGAACTAAATAATAGTTCTGGTTGCATTTAGAGGCCTCTGATGCAAAATGGACTCGGCTGCTCCAGGCTTCAGGCAGCCATCCGCAAGGCTCGGAGCGCGGCGGGAACTCCTGCTGCACTCCAAAGGCTTGCTGATAGCTGCCTGAAGCCCCCGGAGCGCAGCGGGAGTTCCCTGCGCTCTGGGGCTTCAGGCGGCTTCAGCGAAAGCAACGCGAAGCCTCCGGAGCGCGGGGGGAGCTCTCCCTCTGCGCTTTGGAGGATTCGCGTTGCTATCGCTGAAGCCAAGGAGCCTGCATTCGCTCCATAGGACGCCCACACATTTCCCCTTCATTTTTTTAGGGGAAAAAGTGTGTCCTATAGAGCGAAAAATACGGTATGTTAGCTGCAGTTGTGCTCTTCATTTCTGCCAGGGTCTGGCGTGATCTGTGTGGTTCACCTTATCTGCTTGTGACTCAGTAAAGCTTGCCACGTTTTTTTCCTTCCCGGATGCAGTCTGTTTTATTCTGCCACTTCTGCAAGCATGCGGAAAACAACCTAAGGAGGCTGGAAAAGGAACAGGGCAGAAGCTCGGTTGGGGAATTCAGGATTCGATCCTTCTACCTCTCGCATGCCAAGCGAGTGCTCTACCACTTAAGCTAATTCCTCAGCTGTCCAGCAGAGCCAGCCCACAGCACAAGATACAAGATGAGGCTGTTCTTCTGTTTGAGCTAATTCCCTGGCTGTCCAGCTTTGCAATATCCCTGAAAGTGGGCCCAGGCCAGAGTTTCTGTACAGAATATGATCCGAAGACGCTTTGCTTTATGCATGCCAAAAGGGAGAAATTAGAGTCTTGACTGGAGAATGCGGGCATCGATCCCGCTACCTCTCGCATGCTAAGCGAGCGCTCTACCATTTGAGCTAATTCCCCAGCTGCTCAGGAAAACCACCTCACAGTATCCTAAGTACAGGCCAGATCCAAGGTGCAACTGCTCTTAGGTTTGAGTTAAATTCCCTGGCTGCCCAGGCCCCATGATATCCCAAGAAGGAAGCAGGAGCCTGAAATGCTGTGGAGAACGTGAGCTGGAAAGGCGTTGCTCTAGGTTCGGCAAAAGCCAAAAAGGAGCAGAAGCTTGCCTGGAGAATGCGGGCATCGATCCCGCTACCTCTCGCATGCTAAGCGAGCGCTCTACCATTTGAGCTAATTCCCCAACCGTGTGGCTTCAGTGGCTCAGACGTACAGAAAGGGATACGACAAAAGAAAGTGGTTCAGGGAGGCTTCTGTTTTGTCTAAAAGGAGATAAAGCCAAAAGCATGCAGATTATCTTGGCAGACAAGATATTTGGGGCAGACCCAACAAGCATAATAACATGGAAGCTAAACAGGCACGGCAGCAGATAAGCAAAGAACCATCAGTAGCTGACACTTCAGCATTTATGCAAAAGACAATATGCTTGGGCTGAGGAATTAGGCCAAACTTTGCCCCTCGGTGATCCTGGCCAGGGATAGCCTGTGCATGAGGCGAGGGGAAGCCATTCATCTCTGGAACCACCTCCCCTTTCTCCTTTCTTTCTTTCTTTCTTTCTTTCTTTCTTTCTTTGGCAATCACTCGTAGCCAAGTAAGATTGTCTTCCATTGTTTTAACAATGAGTCCGTAAGTGACTGTGGAGGCCAATTCTGGATCCACACGTCCTTCCACAGTGGGGACATTGGTTTCCGGGCAGGAGCTGATCACGGTGTGGATTTGCCAAGCGTGCCTTCCTCCTAGCACGTTTCTCCCTTGAGTCCTGAGTTCGAGTGTCTTCAAAGCCCATGACACCTTTGGGAAAGGCTGTTCTCCAACTGGAGCGCTCGCAGGCCAGTGTTTACCAGTTGTCAGTGTTTATACTACATTTTTTTTAGATTTGCCTTGAGACGGTCTTTAAAACTCTTTTGTTGACCACCAGCATTACGCTTTCCATTTTTAAGTTTGGAATAGAGTAGTTGCTTTGGAAGACAATCATCACAACATGACCAGTCCAACAAAGTTGATGTTGAAGAATCATTGCTTCAACATTGGTGATCTTTGCTTCTTCCAGTACACTGGTATTAGTTCGCCTGTCTTCCCAAGTGATGTGTAAAATTTTTTGGAGAGACCATTGATGGAATCTTTCAAGAAGCTGAAGATGGCGTTTATAAGTGGTCCATGTTTCACAAGCATATAGTAAGGTTTGTAGTACAATAGCTTTGTAAACAAGCATTTTGGTTTCCCTGTGAATGTCCTGGTCCTCAAACACTCTGCACTCTGGGAGAATGGTAACAGGGGCAGGATCGTGAAATCTGGAAGCCCCTAGTCACAAACCGGTACATGGGCGGTGAATACAGATTCAGCCGTTCTGACTCAAGGAATGAGGCAGCTAAGCAGCTCAGCAGCTGTATCCATGACTGAGCAGCCCTTTTTAGGATCCACTCTGCTCACCCCGAAAAGGGGGAGGGGCTAGAAAAGGTGCCCTAAACATAGTCTGCCTCCCTTTTTCCCTGACTGGATTACCGTGCCCAGTGGGGTCACCACCTAGCGGTCGTAAAAGACAAATGAACTTTGGAACATGGAATATACGGACTTTGTCAGATAACACAGACAGACAGTGTCCTGAACACAGAACTGCCATCATTGCAAGAGAGCTGTGACATTTTAACATTGATATTGCAGCGCTTCAAGAGACTCGAAGAGCAGGCGAGGGACAACTGAAGGAAGAAAAAGGAGGCTACACATTCTTCTGGAAAGGTCTATCTGAACAAGAACATTGAATACATGGGGTAGGCTTCGCTATCAAAAGCGACCTATTGAGGCTCCTGTCAGAAGTCACCTCCCCACCCTCTTCCTGACCCCACCATGGCTTCTCCCACTGCTGACACAGCACTCCTACCCTCACTGCTGTGCCCATGGCACCTTTCCTGTCACCCTCCTGTAGTTGACACAAGATAATATCACCAAGGCAACTATCTGTAAACAAACAATAAAGGTCCATCAAAGTGGCAAAAGTAGTTTCTTTCCCAAATTGGTTTTTATCTTACACGCAGTAAATGAAGAGTTCACTCAGACTGGCACTCATCCTGGCTGGACTCAAAACATCTCAGACTGGGTCTCATCCTGGCTGGACTCAAAACATCTCAGACGGGCTCTCACCCTGGCTGGACTCATCACTGCGGTCTTTCTGCAATTTACGGTGGTGGTGCCTGAGCAGAACGAATAGCAGGTTTTTCCACCATGTCCAATCAGTCCATGATGAGAACTGAACTTTGGTCCGTTCCATTCTCTAAAAATGCTAACTAGGTTCACCACCTAAAACGAATCTCCAGATTGCTAATGTAAACACTGCCTACTTCTCTATCTCCTACTTTAACTAAGGAGATAGTACAAGAATACTTGGCTAGTTTAGATGTATTCAAGTCTCCAGGGCCAGATGAACTGCATCCAAGAGTATTAAAAGAACTGGCAGATGTGATCTCAGAACCACTGGCAGTCATCTTTGAGAATTCCTGGAGAACAGGCGAAGTCCCGGCAGACTGGAGGAGGGCAAATGTTGTCCCTATTTTCAAAAAGGGGAAAAGAGAGGACCCAAATAATTACCGCCCAGTCAGTCTGACATCAATACCAGGGAAGATTCTGGAGCAGATCATTAAGCAAACAGTCTGTGAGCACCTAGAAAGGAATGCTGTGATCACCAATAGTCAGCATGGATTTCTGAAAAATAAGTCATGTCAGACTAACCTGATCTCGTTTTTTGACAGAATTACAAGCCTGGTAGATGAAGGGAACGCAGTGGATGTAGCTTACCTTGATTTCAGCAAGGCATTTGACAAGGTGCCCCATGATATTCTTGTAAAGAAGCTGGTAAAATGCGGTCTTGACTATGCTACCACTCAGTGGATTTGTAACTGGCTGACTGACCGAACCCAAAGGGTGCTCATCAATGGTTCCTCTTCATCCTGGAGAAGAGTGACTAGTGGGGTGCCACAGGGTTCTGTCTTGGGCCTGGTCTTATTCAACATCTTTATCAACGACTTGGATGATGGACTCAAGGGCATCCTGATCAAATTTGCAGATGACACCAAATTGGGAGGGGTGGCTAACACCCCAGAGGACTGGATCACACTTCAAAACGACCTTGACAGATTAGAGAACTGGGCCAAAACAAACAAGATGAATTTTAACAGGGAGAAATGTAAAGTATTGCACTTGGGCAAAAAAAATGAGAGGCACAAATACAAGATGGGTGGCACCTGGCTTGAGAGCAGTACATGTGAAAAGGATCTAGGAGTCTTGGTTGACCACAAACTTGACATGAGCCAACAGTGTGACGCGGCAGCTAAAAAAGCCAATGCAATTCTGGGCTGCATCAATAGGAGTATAGCATCTAGATCAAGGGAAGTAATAGTGCCACTGTCTTCTGCTCTGGTCAGACCTCACCTGGAGTACTGTGTCCAGTTCTGGGCACCACAGTTCAAGAAGGACACTGACAAACTGGAACGTGTCCAGAGGAGGGCAACCAAAATGGTCAAAGGCCTGGAAACGATGCCTTATGAGGAACGGCTAAGGGAGCTGGGCATGTTTAGCCTGGAGAAGAGGAGGTTAAGGGGTGATATGATAGCCATGTTCAAATATATCAAAGGATGTCACATAGAGAAGGGAGAAAGGTTGTTTTCTGCTGCTCCAGAGAAGCGGACACGGAGCAATGGATCCAAACTACAAGAAAGAAGATTCCACCTAAACATTAGGAAGAACTTCCTGACAGTAAGAGCTGTTTGACAGTGGAATTTGCTGCCAAGGAGTGTGGTGGAGTCTCCTTCTTTGGAGGTCTTTAAGCAGAGGCTTGACAACCATATGTCAGGAGTGCTCTGATGGTGTTTCCTGCTTGGCAGGGGGTTGGACTTGATGGCCCTTGTGGTCTCTTCCAACTCTATGATTCTATGATTCTATGATTCTCTGCATTTCTGTTTTCTACCTACCAAGGAACCCAACTGGAATTTATGTTCCCAGAGACAGGGGTTTCACACATTCCAATTTCCATCTTGCCATCAGTCTCAGGTGCAACTTGAAGACTGCATTGTGCCTAACAGAGTCTCATTGAAATGCCTGCTACCTCCACCAACATAGCATTGAAAATTCTTGTAAAGTGTCCATGCAACTTGAGTCAGTGGAGTGTTCACACTCTGTGTACATCTCTACGGTACTGCCAGTGTGAAGTTACACGTGAAATGCGCTCTCTGATAGAGCTTTGGGTGTGCTATAGACTGGCCCACGTCAAAGCCAAGTGGTTGTGTCTTGAAGCCAGTACAGCCATACCTTGGTTGTCAAACGGAATCCATTCCAGAAATCAGTTGGACTTCCAAAAATGTTCAACAACCAAGGTGCGGCTTCCGATTGGCTGCTAGAGCCTCCTGCACTCAATCGGAAGCCATGGAATGTTTGGCTTCCGAAAATCCTTCGAAAACTGGAACACTCACTTCCAGTTTTTGATTGTTCTAGAGCCAAAACATTTGAGATCCAAGGTATGAGTGTACAGTGGTACCTCGGGTTACGAACTTAATTCTTTCTGGAGGTCTGTTCTTAACCTGAAACTGTTCTTAACCTGAAGCACCACTTTAGCTAATGGGGCCTCCTGCTGCCGCTGGGCCGCCGGAGCACGATTTCTGTTCTTATCCTGAAGCAAAGTTCTTAACCCGAGGTACTATTTCTGGGTTAGCGGAGTCTGTAACCTGAAGCGTTTGTAACCTGAGGTACCACTGTACTGAAATAGGTTGTTCACTGCCTTGAGGCGTAAAGAAATTGAGCATACCCTACGATCTGCCACTAGATGGCAGAAGAAGATAGTTTTATCATGAAGTGAGGACTTCAGATACTTTTCAGAAAATCTGTAAAGCAAGGAGTTAAAACTCCAGTGTGCCCAGAAGAGTTTGGGGCCACACAGAGTTTTTTCCGTCCTCAATAAAGTAGTAATTTCTCTAGCCCTGGTGAAGCAAACACGTGACCAGTCTCAGCATTGTGGAGTCCAATCTATCAACATCAATTTTTGTTGAAATATTCTTAAGGCAAGTGTTATCCAACTCTTTCCAGTACACTTTCCCACCACTTTCCTGTCCGCAAAAAAAAAAGGTTAAAATTTTGGAGGGAAGAGGGTTTGTTGTGCAAGACCTTCTGATTAACTATAACTCTGAAGCCTGAAATATGTGATTGAAACCACCAAAAAATAATGGCAGTCTAGAAGTGCCTGTGATCACTGCAGATGGTGACAGCAGTCACGAAATTAAAAGACACCTGCTTCTTGGGAGAAAAGCAATGACAAGCCTAGACAGCACCTTAAAAAGCAGAGACATCACCTTGCCGACAAAGGTCCGTATAGTAAAAGCTATGATCTTCCCAGTAGTGATGTATGGAAGTGAGAGCTGGACCATAAAGAAGGCTGATTGGCGAAGAATGGATGCTTTTGAATTCTGGTGCTGGAGGAGACTCTTGAGAGTCCCATGGACTGCAAGAAGATCAAACCTCTCCATTCTGAAGGAAATCAGCCCTGAGTGCTCACTGGAAGGACAGATCCTGAAGCTGAGGCTCCAATACTTTGGCCACCTCATGAGAAGAGAAGACTCCCTGGAAAAGACCCTGATGTTGGGAAAGATGGAGGGCACAAGGAGAAGGGGACGACAGAGGACGAGATGGTTGGATGGTGTTCTTGAAGCTACCAGCATGAGTTTGACCAAACTGCGGGAGGCAATGGAAGACAGGAGTGCCTGGCGTGCTCTGGTCCATGGGGTCAGGAAGAGTCGGACACGACTAAACGACGAAAGAACAACAACAACAGAAGTGCCCGTGATCTCCTTGGAGTCGCAAGGATTGAACACGGAATGAGAAACACCAATGATGACTTGCCGTTTCTTTCTGCTGCGAATCACAAGTGGGGTGTGTGCTTTTGTTTGATCACTGTGAGAGCAGGTTGTTGGACGAGATGGTTGTTCGCCTGATTCAGCAGGACTCTAATGTTCTAATGTTTATTCCCATTGAGCAGAACTGTGATTCAGTCTCTGTACCTTCCCCCCCGCAAAAAAATTGCATTCCTAAGGCATCTCTAATGCCTTCTTGGGGCACATTCCTTGTGTGTTCCTGATTCCAGTAGTGTTCTTCTGTTCTGGCCTGACAACTGAAACGGCAGATATGCAAACCCGTGAATCAAACACTGGTTCATCTGTCAGTCTGGGCCCTTGGCAGGCCGTTTGTGTTTTTAAAAGCATCAGGTGTACATTTAATTTTTCCAAGTGCAAGCCCCTTCCAAGGGGGGGGGGGGGAGACGGTCATGGTGGCATCACAGTTAACAGACAATCAGTGCTGTGCGCAGCTGATGCCCATAGTACACTTGCAGAACCAGGTTTCTTTGTCTCAGAACTCAACTCTCGGAAGCAAAGGTACCTTTTGTAGAGGTGAGGAGCCTTTTTCAGCCCTTGTTCAAATGCATTCGCTTCTGGGCCCTTTTCTAAAGGCCATATGTCAATGGGAGCCTGGACCAGGGGCAAAAGTAGGCAGAACAAGAAATGAGGGTTTTACCTTTGTGCAATATATGACTTTCTGGTCTGGTGTTGTTATCCGAATCAATTTTGTGTTGGCGAAATCTTTGATCTTCGCGGGTGTTTATGTACTTTTATATTCCTGTAGTATGGTGTTACGGAAATTACGGGGAGGAGCACATCTTTAAAGTTGTTAAATGTTACAAATATTATTCATAAATGTATCCTTTCGACTTGACAGCTCAGAAAAGTTACCTAGCTTTAAAAATAATATAAAATCAACTCCTTTGCCAGTGTCCTCCATTCCAACGCTATTTTGCCCTTGAAAAAGGGACTCCAGGAAGTGCCCAGAGGTGACAATTTCTGAGCTGATTGCTGGCCAAGGAAAGCTTAATCCCATCACCAAACTTGCCAAGGGGTCCAGACATGCAAAGGAAGTTCTATTGTACTTTGGGTGGTGGGACTTCAGTGGTGTTTGCCTATGCTAATCTTATACCTGGGTCTTGCCCTGACATGTCTACTTATGCTAATCTTGTACCAAGGACTTGTCTGGACATATTTGCCAAGGTTAAACTAGTGTAACCCCTTTTGTGACGTGTCAGTGATGTAGCAATGATCTATCAATGATGCTGTACAAACTGTATTCTGGGATATGGTGGGAAAGTTTTAAAAGTCCTTGTCACCCCATCCTCGAGGTTCAAAATTCCTCTTTGAACCTGTTGCGCAATAAACTTTGGTCTACAGCTATTTGCTCCGGTTGGTAGTGTGATAGGAATTTTGAGGTCTTAGATATATGGTAATGCTCACAACAGAACATACATAGATCAGCACAGGAAGACCAACCTGGAACCATTTTGATTCCTAAACTAAGCAAATGTTTTCTCTACAAGGTCAAAGTGGGAAACCTCCCCATTGTCTCTTTCCTCACAAATCCTGTCTTAAGGGCACATTTAAGATATGAATAGGGTGTGAGCCTGTGACCTGGCCCAGGAACGAAGTATTTATCACCATAAAAGAATGGCCAGGCTCCCCAGACAATCCAGTCAAGTAACCTGCCAGACAGGAGATAAGCAATGACAGGAGAAAAACAACATTCAAATTTCTGTTTTAAGACCGCCTTTTCTGTGATGTAGGTATGATGTATCTGAGGGGTGGTCTTAGGTTACACCCCTTCTGTGATGTATGTATGATGTTTCTGGGGGTGGTCTTGATCTACAAGGTGGCAATTTCAAAAGTCTTTATAAGGCCTTGCGCGCCATTGTTCTGGGTTCCTCCTCCCTCCTTTGTGTGGTGAGTTGAGGACCCTGTTGCAACAGATCAATAAAGATCAGGCTTACTAGCTGCTTTGCTTCTCAATATTCTCTGGTTGGCCTCTGTTATTCTCTCCTACCAATAGGGAACCAATGCAAGGACTCTATATGGGCTCTTGGATAGCCCATAAGGGAAAAGGGCAATTTTTGTTTACAACAGTAGCTGGACTCCTTCCTTTATTCCGCAGGAACCCGCGGGCTCTGCCCGACGAGCTGGGTGACCGAGCAGCCTCACACCTAGATTTTTCCATAACAATGGGGATTAGAGGCAGGACAATGAAAGCGAACTCTGCAAGCCCTTTTAGCTGCTGACTTAGACTTCAAGCCTGGAAGTGTCAGGATGAGGAAGAGCAGGGAAATCGACCCAACCAAGAGCCCCCCACCCCCAGGGAAGGCACAAAGGAGAAGGATTTCGAGCCTGGTAACTGGTGGAAGGACACTGGCCACAACTCAGAGGAGGGAACAAGCTGGGGAGTGGTAGAAGCAGGGCCCTTGCAGGATAGTGAAGGGACAAGACAGCATGAAGGGGTTTCTAGTTTGGGTGAAGGCGCCAACAGCAATGACAAAGGGGAGGTAGAGCCTGCAGTTCTCACCCAGGACCACTCTGAGGGCTTCTCTGCTGGCAGCTTGCTGGCCCCGTCTCCTCTTAGAACGAGGCATTTATTGCATGATGCCAAGGCCAGGCAGACACAGAGCGAATCCCTTGGGGCTTGCCGTATAGAAGAAGAGCACAGAGGGAGGGGCCGGACACAAAGGGCTAGGGAGTGGAAGAGGAGAGACGCGTCAGCCCAAAGAACTGCTTCATTAAGGCAGGATTACTCCTTAGAAGTCTCTGTGTGTTCTTTGTCCTGATTTCCGTAATAAAGAAGCTAGCTGCACGTCAACCAAGTGTCCCTCTCTTCCTTCTCTGACCTGCGAACAACCGACTTGCCCTGTCAGCTCCCCTGACAGGAAGGATAAATACCCACCTTCTATGACAGGTTGGTCTGGAGATCTCATGTCCTCCCCCCCTTAGCCTTGGTGAGACAATTGCCTCGGGCGGCAGGATGGGGACAGCTGGAAACCGTGGCAGGTTCGGCGGCCCCAGTAGCATGCCAATCACCACCACCTGCTTCTCTTCAGCCTCCATTTTGCTCCCTTCAGAGTGCCGGGGCTTCCCTGAGCCATCTTCCCTGTCGCCTCAGGAAGAGGCAAGGGGGACAGAGCAGGAGAGGAAGAGGCAATGGCAAGGGGGTATGCCCCCGGTATGCCCCACGGAAGACCTTAAGGTCCATAAATAGTGGTCCCGGGCCCTAAGGAAGTCAGATTAGCCTCAACTAGAGCCAGGGCCTTCTCAACACTGGCTCCGGCCTGGTGGAACACTCTGTCTCTTGAGACCAGGGCCCTGCAGGATCTGATTTCTTTCCGCAGGGCCTGTAAGACAGAGTTGTTCCGCCTGGCCTTTGGCTTGGAATCAACTTGATCCCCTCCCCCTCTTTCCTTTTTCCTTTTTCTTTCTGTGATGGAACTCCTATTTCCACCCCAAAAACCTTTTCGATTTGAGTTCCTACGAAATGAGGCTGTATTTTAATGTTTTAATGTCGTATTTTAATCTCGTTTTTAAGTTGTATTTCAATCAATTGTTTTTATACCTGGTGTCAGCCGCCCTGAGCCCTGTCTTGGCTGGGGAGGGCGGGGTATAAATAAAATTATTATTTTCTGCTTTGCCTCAAGCGGCCAAATGTCTTGGGCCGGCCCTGCACACCTCTCCTCCTGAAGTGGATTCGGCCATTGAAATTATAACAAAGATGCTTCTCATTCTTATTTAGGGGGTGGCCGACAGTGCCGTCGTTCCCATCAAGGCCTTTCAGCAGGCAGGCGGGGAACACCACTGAGTCACCTGTTAAGCCATTGTAAAAACTTCTTGTAGCGACAGGTGATACTCCCTGAGACAGAACAAAGGCCTTTTGGAGGGCAGGTATTGTTTCTAGAAACATTCACCCAGTTGCATCAAGGGGAGCACTTGTGACAACCTGGGCTCGGTTACATCATTGCTAGAACAACACCACAAACAAACAAAAACAAGCAGCAACAACCCCACAGCTGAGATAATATCTGAAAATCTCTCCAGAACCTGTGAGTTAAAACTGGAGGGCAATCCCCCATATTTATTTGCAAAGCTAAATTTGAAGTTACACATCAAACATACCCTCCAACATTCCTCAGATGGAAACAGGGACAATTTTCACTCCCCACCCTGGGAACTCACCCTCCTCGACCCCCCCCCCCATTTTTTATTTTTTATTTTTTGTTTGTGTGTGTGTGTGTCCCTGGTAAAGCATTTCCTGTCATAAGAAGGGCGAGTGCCACCACCAAGGGGACACAGCACACATGTCCTTTGTCATCCAGAGAAAACCCCTTAATCCCATTTCCTCCTCCCCCCCATTCTTTGGTAGATTTACCAAGTGACTTGGAAACCACAATTAATTTAGAATGCGGCTGCCAGACTCGTGACTGCCTGGAGCGACTGCCGGGATCAAATAACACTGGTTCCCAGTACGTTTCCGAGCACAATTCAAAGTGTTGGTGCAGACCTTTAAAGCCCTAAACAGCCTTGGCCCAGAATACCTGAAGGAGCGTCTCCACCCCCGTCATTCAACCCAGACACTGAGCTCCAGCTCCAAGGGTCTTTTGGCTGTCCCCTAACTGGGAAATTATTAATGTTTGACCCTTTGTGGTGTTTTTAAATTTTGCTGGAAGCCGCCCAGAGTGGCTGAGGCAACCCAGTCAGATGGGCAGCATGTAAATAATAAAAGCAATTAAAAATATTAATAATATGCACCTTGTCCTCACGGGGAGAGTATGTGCAGACCTAGATGGGCGTTTGGCTTATTCCAGAAGGCTTTTCTTATTTCCATAGAGGTAGGAGTTGTTGTTCTGTTGAAAATAGGTGTATGCCAGACTTTTTCATGGGTCACATGTCCTGTTCTGCTACGAAAACAGTGGGAAGAAGGTGCTGGACTAGATGGGTCTATGGCCTCGAACCATCCGTCTCATGCCCTTAATCCCACCTGCAAAATAGCAGCAGCCTGGAAGTAGCCAAAGTGTGCTTAATAGAGCATTGGTAGTAAGTGTCAGGAGATCGTGATTTTGAAGCCCATCAGCGGACCTTAGAGACTCTGAAAAGAAAAGGAGGGAAGACCCTGTGAAACTAAAGTTAGCCAACATCTCAGATGTAGACCGTGGCTACAAATTGGGTGTGTTAATATATAACTGCATAAAGTAAGGTAAAGGTAAAGGGACCCCTGACCATTAGGTCCAGTCGTGACCAACTCTGGGGTTGCTCGCTCTTCTCACTCTATAGGCCGAGGGAGGCAGTGTACAGCTTCCGGGTCATGTGGCCAGCATGACTAAGCTGCATCTGGCGAACCAGAGCAGTGCACGGAAACGCTGTTTACCTTCCCGCCAGAGTGGTACCTATTTATCTACTTGCACTTTGACATGCTTTTGAACTGCTAGGTTGGCAGGAGCAGGGACCGAGCAATGGGAGCTCACCCCGTCGCGGAGATTCGAACCGCCGACCTTCTGATCGGCAAGTCCTAGGTTCTGTGGTTTAACCCACAGCGCCACCTGCGTTCCTAACTGCACAAAGTAGTGCCTTGCAAAAAAGAAAAGAAAAAAGGAAAGCCCTGTCCAGGATGGATTAAGAGAACTGTGGAAATGCAACACTACAATGTTATCCTTCCACATTTCTGAATCATTGATTCAATGGAGGGAGAGGCCTGTAGGAACTCCCCAGAACAAAACAAAGGGTTTCCTTCATTTTTCCATGGATCACTGCGAAGGTTCAGGTAGGTATTCAGATATTAGATACTTAAAGGTAAAGGACCCCTGACAGTTAAGTCCAGTCGTGAACAAGACTGGACTGGTACCTATTTATCTACTTGCACTTTGATGTGCTTTCGAACTGCTACGTTGGCAGGAGCAGGGACCGAGCAATGAGAGCTCACCCCGTCACTGGGATTCGAACCACTGACCTTCCAATCATAGTGGTTTAGACCACAGCACCACCCGCATCCCTATTAGATACTTAGGCACTTAGATATTTCTAAGTACACCCCATCAGTTCTGTTAAGAAACCGAGTTGGCACGATGCCATGTGCCTAGAAAGCTATTCCAGCAAGGGAGCTTCGACAGAACCGCAGGTGGAATTCAGGGGTTCAAAAGGCGACACAGAAATGCGAATCCCTTGACCAAGGGATATTGATTGGCATAGCTGGAGTAAAACTTTTTATTTGCACAGCCAATGCTCCAGGGAATAGGTGGAAGAACCGACTGGTTCTTGTTCCCTCAGTTCATAATTTTTGCAATCTTAAATTTGATTCTCCACATTCCTGCAGCAATTTGTGGGTCTTTTGTGTGTGTGTGTGTGTGTGTGTGTGTGTGTGTGTAAAAGAAATCCTCACGAAAATTCACCAACATTTGACACAAATTCCTCCCAACACACACACACACACACACACACACATTTCTAGATGTGATTTTGACTGATGTACACATTTTTGCCAGCAGTTTTCCCTAACACAATGCATTTTGTGTGTGTGTGATTTTTCTGAATAATGCTTTTTGTAGGGTGGGGTCAGGTAACGGGCACTGGGGTTGAGCTTATGGAATCAGCGTTGGTGGGCACCTACAAAAAGGTGGGTAAGTGCAAATTTCAAAGGACAGCTGTGTTTCAGCCTGCATATTGTTTCAGAAAAGGTGACTGGTACATTTGGCTTCAGCTGAGACCTGAATCAAATTGCTTACTCACTGAGCTCAGTAATGATGGGAGCTGGAGTGTGTCTGGCCTTTAAGACAGTCCTGAGGCCACACCCCTTCCCTAGCCACTCCCCTTCCCCTCTGTCTTTTCACCATCCTTAGTGTTTCTCCTGGCTGGACTTTGTCCTTTCACTCTGATCCTGCCTCTTCCTTGCCTGGATGGAGGTTAGAGAGAAATCTGGGCAAGCAGAGGTACAGCTAGGCTCCCCTGGGTGCCCCCCTCCTGAAAAAAATCTCTTCTCCCACTTTGATCTTGCCATGACAGTGACGGTGCATCACGACACACATATACAGTACACGCCAGCAGTTAGCCTTCATACCGCCTTGCCGTTTCTATTATTATCTTATATATTTATGTATTAGATTTATATACGGCACTTCGTCGCAAGATCTCAGGGCAGTTCACAGGAGAAAACACAAGTAGAGAATTAAAACAATAAAAAGAAAACAATAACCCCCCCACCCTTTCTCACAAACACATTTAAAAGGCTGTAGAATATTAATCAGCCCAAGGCTTGGCTGGGGAGAAATGTTTTCACTTGGCGGCTAAAGATATACAGTGGTACCTCAGGTTACATACACTTCAGGTTACATACGCTTCAGGTTACAGACTCCGCTAACCCAGAAATAGTGCTTCAGGTTAAGAACTTTGCTTCAGGATGAGAACAGAAATCGTGCTCCGGTCGCGCGGCAGCAGCGGGAGGCCCCATTAGCTAAAGTGGTGCTTCAGGTTAAGAACAGACCTCCGGAATGAATTAAGTACTTAACCCGAGGTACCACTGTATAATGAAGGTGCCAGGCATTTCACAAATAGGGCGCCTCTGCAGAAAAGGCCTTATTCTCCTACTGCTCAGCTCCCAGCTCTTGCCTAAACACACAACCTTACACAGATCAGGAGCGCCGACTTGCCCCCCCCAATTGAGGGGGTGTGGCCACGTGATGCATCACATGACGCAGCACGTGATGCCACCCAGCATGTGCCAGGCAGGGGCAAGATGCATGGAGGGCAATCTTCACACTTGTTGGTCCTAGCCGCCACCCAGCTCCCAAGCTCCCAGGTGGATGCTGGGATGAGCAAAGCAAAGATCTCGCTCGCCTCAGCTGCTACCTGGCTCCTGGGCTGCTAGGGCTCACGGAGGGCGCCCTATGGCGGGGTGGTGGTGGTAGCCCCCTAAATATTGGGGTGGTGCCCCCTGCCCCAAAGTATTGGGAGAACTGATGCCCCTTTTGCCCTCTATTCCCGACATCCCGAAACAGATAGCTGGGAACAGAATTGTGGGGTGATTTTTTGAGCACACCACCCTAGTGGAAGGCAGTTTTGCCAACCCCTAGCTACGCCTCTGTGTGCGAGTGCATGTAGAAACTAGCCTACTAGACAAAGGCAACATTTTACACTTGTTGCCCTCCCTTCTTTGACCTCTGGTTCCACCCACAAGTGGAAGATTCATCCAGGGTGTAATTCAGCCCTAAGGCCTGATAAATAATCCCTTCTTCTCCTCCTCCTCTTCCTTCTTCTAAAAAGAAATTTATATATTGGGTTTTTCAGGTTGAAACTTTACAGTCACATATATCCAACATACAACATAAAAAGTAGATTCCAATATTATCAATAATAATAATTTATTATTTATACCCCGCCCATCTGGCTGGGCTTCCCCAGCCACTCTGGGCGGCTTCCAACGAAATATTAAAATACAGTAATGCATCAAACATTAAAAGCTTCCCTAAAAAGGGCTGCCTTCAGATGTCTTCTAAAAGTCTTCCAAGGAATCTCTTGGACTCCTCCTCCTCCCCTTTGTGGGTCCTACTGTTAATCGTTCTCTCCTGCATCTTTTATAATAATCCAGTTCTTTTATCTCTCCATTGTATCCAAAATTCACCATTAAACTACAAGCGATATTCTGATCCTACTAATGGTTTTAACTACAATGGTCTTTAAGATAATTTATTAAATTTTCCCCATTCCTTCTTAAACTTTTGGTCTTCCTGATTCTGAGCAATGACCCCTAACCCTCTCTATACAGAGTCAGCACCCATGTTGGGCTGGGTGGAGGGAAACCTGGGTTCATGAAGCTCACGGGGTAACCTTGGACCGTTGGCTTTCTCTTGGCCTCACCTGCCTTCCAGGACTGTTGGGAGAATAAAGGCAGGGGAGAGCCGTGTCTGCTGCTCTGACTTCCTTGGATGAATGCAGATTCAGATGGGCTTAACTAGACAGTTTCACTAGGGTCGTGGACCTGCTGCAATCAGGGCCGGATTTAGGTTTGATGAGGCCCTAAGCTACTGAAGGTAATGGGGCCCTTTATATGTCCAGCTCTCCTTTGTCAGCAACAAATTGTCACTGTTTTCTGTGTTGAATATATGCTATATGGTAATTTATGGACCTAGTAGGTATCTAATACCAGTGATATTTTAGGGAGCAGGCCAGCAGGTGGGGCCCATTACAGTGGTACCTCGGTTTACAAACTTCATCCGTTCCGGAAGTCTGTTCTTAAACTGAAACCGTTCTTAAACTGAGGTGCGCTTTCCCTAATGAGGCTTCCTGCCACTGCCACTGCCCTTCCACCGTTTGGATTCCATTCTTAGACCGAGGTAAAGTTCTCAAACCAGGATACTACTTCCTTTTTTGCAGAGTACATAAAGCGAATCGTTCGTAAACAGGACTGTTCTTAAACCAAGGTACCACCGAGAGCCAGTGTGGTATAGTGGTTAAGAGCGATAGACTTGTAATCTGGTGAACCAGGTTCGCTTCCCCGCTCCTCCACATGCAGCTGCTGGGTGACCTTGGGCCAGTCACGCTTCTCTGAAGTCTCTCAGCCCCACTCACCTCACAGAGTGTTTGTTGTGGGGGAGGAAGGGAAAGGAGAATGTTAGCCGCTTTGAGACTCCTTCGGGTAGTGATAAAGCGGGATATCTAATCCAAACTCCTCTTCTTCTTCTTCTGCTTACATCATAGGAGCCTACACAACACAAAACACTGTTGCTGTATGTAGGTTTTATTTTACAGTGGTACCTCTGGTTATGAACTTGATTCGTTCCGGAGGTCCATTCTTAACCTGAAACCGTTCTTAACCTGAGGAACCACTTTAGCTAATGGGGCCTCCCGCTGCCGCCACATGATTTCTGTTCTCATCCTGAGGTAAAGTTCTTAACCCAAGGTACTACTTCTGGGTTAGCGGAGTCTGTAATCCGAAGTGTTTGTAACCCGAGGTGTTTGTAACTCAAGGTACCACTGTATTTGTTTTTTATCTTATATTTTGGAAATGTACATCCAGGTTTTGTTTCCTTCAATTTTTGGGGAGGGCCCCAAAAGCTATAGCTTGTTTAGCTTATACCTAAATCCGGCACTGGCTGCAATTTTTTGCCTCTTGCAGCATCGCAACAACTGCCTGCCAAATACCAAGCAGGTGATATGATTGCACCAGCTGTTGCTCGGTCCGGTGACTGTGACAATCACAGGAGAGAGGGTGGCTTTGGACACCATGGAAGGAGAGGGTGGCCAGCTTGTCTTGCTTTGCAGAGGATGTTCCTCTAATTTCCAGGACTGGCAGTCCTCCATTTGAAAGAGGTTCCGTCCAAGGCCAGCTCATAGAACCCTAAGAATGAGGCGGGATTTTTTAGAGTCACCCAATGAGATTTTGCCACATAGCATGGCAAATGTTTGCAATTTTGTGAGGACAAATTTTTCCCATAAGAACTGCTTAGAGGTTTTGACAATAAAAAATAATATACAAATTTTAAAAGCAAATTTTTCAAAATAAGATTGACGTGCATTTTAATAGGCAGCTTTCCATTTAAAAATAACGTATATTTTGAACTGCTGGTTTTATGTATACAGTGGTGCCTCAGGTTAAGTACTTAATTGGTTCCGGAAGTCCGTTCTTAACCTGAAGCGTTCTTAACCTGAAGCGGACTTTCCCATTGAAAGTAACAGAAAGTGGATTGATCCGTTCCAGATGCTGAAAAACACCCCCTAAAACAGCAATTTAACATGAATTTTACTGTCTAACGAGACCATTGATACATAAAATGAAGGCACTAATCAATGTACTGTACTATAAAATAAATAAGACAGTATTTTAGATGAAAAAAATTAACATTTTTTTTTCTTACATGCACTGATGATAGTCAGTTTGGATGGGGGGCTTTTATCCATTTCTGCAGTCACACAATCAACCAGTAGCTAAACTGAGTTCCACACAGTCACAAAAATGAAGTCACAAGCCACAGTCACAAAAGCGAAGTCACAAGTCTGTCCATAAAATGAAGAACAAGTCACAGTCAAAAAACCAAAAAAGCCACACAAACCAAAATGCAAAAACAAACCTCCAAATATAACTTCTGTGTTGCATGGGTGCTCGGGACTCAACAGCTGGCAGACTCAACAGGAAGCCTCTGATTAGCAGCGAGGGACTCAATTAACAAACGAAACACACCAAAACAGGAATCAGACGATGAAAAGTGACCCCTAAAACAGCGGTGTTACATGAATTTTACTATCTAATGAGGCCATTGATCCATAAAATGAAATCAATAAAACAGTACAAAATGAGAATGTGATTCCCCCCCCCCTTACCTGCGCTGAAGATAGTCATTGTTTGGAGGGGGGCTCAGGGTCCTCTTCCACAATCATAATCGGCTTGGCTTCCGGCATTCGCGGAGACCTCAGAGAGCTCCCGCGGCTGGAGCCCGTGTGTGTGTGTGTGTGTGTGTGTGTACCACAAGAAGGGAGAACACAGCTGGAGTGGGCAGGCACACAAACCAGAAGCTCACATGAGATTTACAGTCGTACCTTGGTTCTCAAATGGAATCAATCCATTCAACTTCCAAAAATGTTCGAAAACCAAGGCGCAGGAGCTTCCTGCAGCCAATCGGAAGCTGCGGAAGCTGTGTCGGACATTCGGCTTCCAAAAAACGTTCGCAAACCGGAACACTCACTTCTGGGTGTGCGGCGTTTGGGAGGCAAAACGTTCGAGTCTCAAGGCATTCCAGAACCAAGGTACAACTGCATTTCCATTTAAATTATAATAAATGGGCCAGGTCTGAAGCTCAACATCAAAAAATCGAAGATCATGGCCACTGGTCCCTTCACCTCCTGGCAAATGGAAGGGGAAGAAATGGAGGCAGTGAGAAATTTTACTTTCTTGGGCTCCATGATCACTGCAAATGGTGACAGCAGTCACGAAATTAAAAGACGCCTGCTCCTTGGGAGAAAAGCAATGACAAACCTAGATAGCATCTTAAAAAGCAGAGACATCACTTTGCCAACAAAGGTCCGTATAGTTAAACCTATGGTTTTCCCAGTAGTGATGTATGGAAGTGAGAGCTGGACCATAAAGAAGGCTGATCGCCGAAGAATTGATGCTTTTGAATTACGGTGCTGGAGGAGACTCTTGAGTGTCCCATGGACTGCAAGAAGATCAAACCTATCCATTCTTAAGGAAATCAGCCCTGAGTGCTCACTGGAAGGACAGATTGTGAAGCTGAGGCTCCAATACTTTGGCCACCTCATGAGAAGAGAAGACTCCCTGGAAAAGGCCCTGATGCTGGGAAAGATGGAGGGCACAAGGAGAAGGGGACGACAGAGGATGAGATGGTTGGACAGTGTTCTCGAAGCTACCAGCATGAGTTTGACCAAACTGTGGGAGGCAGTGGAAGACAGGAGTGCCTGGCGTGCTCTGGTCCAGGGGGTCATGAAGAGTCGGACACAACCAAACGACTAAACAACAACAACAAAATGGGCCAGGTTCTGCTAATTGGTCCTATTGGCGGAAACTCAAATGAGGGGGTCTGCTAGAGCCACAAGGCTTTCCCCCACATCTCTCCCCCCCATGCCCCCCACCTCCCCAAATTGTCTTGGAGGGGGTCGGCAGAACCCCACCCCCTTCAAAACAGAATGGGTGGCTGGGAGAAAAGGGGAGATACTGCCATCAGGGAATGCTGAAATACTCACGCAGGTGAACATTTCTAGCAACATGATGTTAAATTCCTCCTGGCGCTTCTAAAGTCACATCTATATGTAAAAGGGCTTGCCGATCAGAAGGTCGGCGGTTCAAATCCCCGTGACAGGGTGAGCTCCTGTTGCTCGGACCCTGCTCCTGCCAACCTAGCAGTTCGAAAGCACCTCAAAGTGCAAGTAGATAAATAGGTACCACTCCGGCGGGAAGGTAAACGGCGTTTCCATGCGCTGCTCTGGTTCGCCAGTAGCGGCTTAGTCATGCTGGCCACATGACCCGGAAGCTGTACGCCGGCTCCCTCGGCCAGTAAAGCGAGATGAGCGCCGCAACCCCAGAGTCAGCCACGACTGGACCTAATGGTCAGGGGTCCCTTTACCTTTACCTTTATTTTTGATAAATAAAAACAAAATGAGGTCCTGGGTACGCATATGTTGATGACTGTTGCAGTTGCCAGCACATAAAGGCTGCCATGGGCAGCAAAAAAAAAAAAAAAAAAGGATTCTGGTACTCTGAACCAGTGAGCACTGCCACAAAAAAGCCCTGTAAATCAGCACAGGTAAATTTTACTCAAATAGTTGTTGTCGTTTTGGTGAAGCATTTATTATTTCCTGGTGACGTATAACTCTTGGCTGTTGTGAGCCAACTTTTTCTTTTTTAAAAAAAACAAACAAACCCTTACCTGCATCCCAGGATTTTCTCCCATTATTGGGTGTTCCCTTATCTCCCCTTTTAAAGCAAGATGCTTGAGAGAGTGATCTCTGTCCAAAGCAGGATTTCCTGAGTGACAGTTTATCTAACCCCTTTTCAGCCTGGCTCATAGCCCAGATTGGGGATCAAAGCTGTGTTGGTCACTCTTGTCGGCCATCTTAGCTGGGAGGAAAAGCAAATGCAGTCCTGTTTTATCTTCCCGGACCTCTCAGCAACTTTTACCAATGATTCCCTTTATAGCCCACCTTTCCTTCAGTGGTTCTCCCACTCCCCATTTTATTCTTACAGCAACACCATGAAGATGAAGCTTAATGCCCGCAGTGGATGCACATCTTCCAAGAGTCCCGGGGAGAAAGGGACCTCCAGTTTTTTTACGCGAGATCTCGGCGGCCATTTTGGGTGCCTCAATTTCACACACTGTTCTGCTGCACTCTTGGTCCCCCCCATAAAAAAAAGTGGGAGCAAGGTGTGGGTCATGTGACTCGTCTAGGAACACATCCAGGAAGATGGGTGTCCCAGTTTTGGGTCAGAAAAAATCGGACACAAACAAGATGGAGGTACCGTTGTCAGCAGGGAAAATTGATCAGACTGAGAAACTTGGAGGTACCAGGAAATTCGGCCTTGGGTGTGGATTTTGCTGGTAAAATAACGTGAGGAGTTCTCTGCCAAAGGCAGAACATAAGAAGACCTCTGCCAAAGGCATACCCTCCAACATTTCTCCGATGAAAATAGGGGTATCCTATCCTATTATTATTATTATTATTATTATTATTATCACAGTGGTACCTTGGTTTTTGAACGTCTCCATTGACAAACATTTCGGTTTTCCAACGCCATAAACCTGGAAGTAAATGCTTCATTTTTCGAACACGCTTTGCGGCTTCCGTATTGAGTTTTCCGTATTGCATTGAGGCTTCCATATTGAGTCTTCTGTATTGTATTAAGGCTTCTGTATTGAGTTTTCAGTTTTCAACATCTCACAACTCCAGCGATCTTCTAGAACAGATTACGTTTGAAAACCGAGGTACCACTGTAGTATTATCATTATCATCATTATTATTATTATTATTCAATTTATACTCTGCCCATCTGACTGGGTTGCCCCAGACATTCTGGGCAGCTTCCAACATATATAAAAACATAATAAAACATTAAACATTAACAAACAGGGCTGCCTTCAGATGTCTTCTAAAGGTTTTATAGTTATCTCCTTGGCTTGGGGGCCTCATAACTCCATACCCTCCAACATTTCTCCGATGAAAATAGGAAAGTCCTGAGGAAAAGCGGAACGTTCTGGGATCAAAGCAGAAACTGGGATGGCCTCTGTAAATTCAGGACTGTCCCTGGAAAATGGGGGCACTTGGAGGGTCTGCAAAGGCGCATCTACTCCAGCATCCTCTTCTCATTTTGGCCTCCCAGATGCCTCTTGGGGCCATAGCTGTCAACGTTCCCTTTTTTGAAGGGAAATTCCCTTATTCCGAATAGGATTCCTATGCTTGGGGCACCTGCAGAAAATGGCTGCCTCCACTACCACCCTCTGCAAAGATTTTCATTTTTCAAACCCACCTCACACACCTGATGCTTCCTTTTATGAGGGGGACAGGATGGCTCTACAAAAATGTACGGGGGGCATATTCAGCCCTGCTGTAGTTCAAACACCCCAATAGTTTGGGTGTTGCTTGGCTCGGTCGGTAACCTGAGGTGTCTGCCCAGCTGTGGGAGTCACTTGGCTTGGGCAATAAGATGTCACAAGCCTTTGTTGCTTTTAGGCCCAAAATAATGAGGGTTATGAGAAGTGGCTAATTAGTCGTGCCCACATAAAAAACAAACTGAAATAGTCACTCCTTTGGCACAAATTTTATTCCTCTCAGTTCACATACAACGCCCTTCACCCATTTCCCCAAAACTTAGTCTCCTCACAGTCTTCATGAAGCCCCTCCATGCTGACTCGAGGGACCCACTCAAGAGGAATCTCCCTCGATCCCCAAGTCCAAGCCTTGAGCTCTTCCAGTCTGTGCTTTGGGTCGTTGAGAACATATTGACTGGGGCTGATGGGACTGTGGGCATACGTTCTGACATTTTGTGCCCCAAATCTAGCCTCTTCCCCCTCCACAAGGCCTGCAGAGGCACTCTGGTGTGTCCCGTTGAGAGGGCCATCGCGCCATCCCAATAGTCAATGGGATGTGACAGGGCAAAAGGGGCTTCATCCTGGCAAGTCCCTGGCAATGTCAGAGCGATCCCAGAAGGCGCTCTGACACTCGTCAGCAGGATCGGGCGCAACCCTGCTGACTCGCGCCAGGGTGCCAGTCTTAAACACGGAATTCTGGGATCCAAACAGAAGCTTCTTTTTTCTGGGATGTCCCGGTTAAAATGAGACAGTTGGGGGGGGGGGCTTATGGCTGTGGGTGGTCCCAGGTTGGCAAAGGCTATAAAAAAGTAAAGGGACCCCTGACCATTAGGTCCAGTCGTGACCGACTCTGGGGTTGCGACGCTCATCTGGCTTTATTGGCTGAGGGAGCCGGTGTACAGCTTCCAGGTCATGTGGCCAGCATGACTAAGCCGCTTCTGGCGAACCAGAGCAGTGCACGGAAACGCCGTTTACCTTCCCGCTGGAGCGGTGCCTATTTATCTACTTGCACTTTGACGTGCTTTCAAACTGCTAGGTTGGCAGGAGCAGGGACCGAGCAACGGGAGCTCACCCCGTTGCAGGGATTTGAACCGCCGGTCTTCTGATCAGCAAGTCCTAGGCTCTGTGGTTTAACCCACAGCACCACCCGTGTCCCAAGTATACTAAGACATAAATAATCTTGTGGGAATTATAGGGACAGAACTACCTAAACGGTATAGAAATTTATTTACATATGCAACTACAGCGGCAAGAATGCCTACTCGCCCCGAAATGGAAAGAAGCAGAAGTCCCAGCAAAGGAAGAATGGACACAGAAACTTGTGGAATACGCAGAAATGGCGAAACTTAACCGGAAGAATAAGAACTCAAGATAACAAACTTTTTAAATAAAAGAATGGAAATGGTTTATTGAATATTTGCAGATAAATTGCAAACAGATAAAAACATCGGCAGGATTATTGCAATAACCTGCAGTTTCACAAGTGTATATATATATATGTAAAGTAGATAATAAAATGAGCAAATTAAATGAATTTGGATATGAAGATATTTTAAAAAAATAAATTTAAAGAACCCCCGAAAGAGGGGGAAGGAAGTCAAGCTTTGAAACGTTAAAATGATTGCAAAACTAATGAAACGTATAAATTTGAAAACTATAAATAAAAACCATTTTAAAAGACATAAATAATTCACACCCGTGCATACTTAAATCACTGTCCGTACCAAAACTCGAGATGAGCGTGGAAACTCTGGCAAACCGTGACGGTTTCACAAGACGGGGAGATGTGTTCTGCGCATTGTTAATTAAAAGCAGCTTAAAATAGCACAGAAGAAAAGCAGAAGTTGTAAAACAATCCAGAACATGCCAAAAAAAAAAAAAAAATTTGCTTGAGGTTGGCAAAAAAATATCTCCAAGGCTCATGTGATGCACACCTACTGAGGGAGGGTGTCTCATCACATGCTTGGCCATGGCAGAACTCAACACCAAGATGAAAAGGGTGTGTCTGGTACAATAAACTAATCTCCACCCACTGTCAGCTCGAAGACACCGATGTGACAGAGGACTGCCGCTGCAATATATAGGGCTGTCGTGATTCAGCTCCAGCCCGTGTAGCAACAGATCTGTGCCTGGCGTTTTTTGCAGCTCCTCAAGAGGTGTCATTTTCTACCCGTCTACCTTCCAGTTGCCTCCGTTGTGAATATTTCGGGACTATGGCCGGGAGAGCTGCCGCTGCCTTGCTTCTCACAGCATCCATCTTACAAATAGGTAAGAAGAGATGGGAGGTGGAACGCCACTTGGACCAGACTTGCACACCCGACCGCAGCTGTCGGCATAGCTTATTTCCAGTGAGGGTCTATGAACTGCAAGGTCGGCAGGTGGCTTAGGCTGTGGTTGTGCACACCTGCGGTAGGGGAACCCCAAAGGCCTCTCTAACTGGTCCCCTTCCCAGACCACAGCTTGGTTCTCACTAACCCTGGTTCTCACTCTCCTGGAGTGGCTGGGCTCCATCTCTAAGCTCCAATAATGCTTTCCGCTTGCCTGGATGGGGATATGAGAGTGTGCAGAAACTAGCTTACTGCACAATAATGGTTCAGTTTTGGCAAAAAATTCCCACATCGCAGTGGGTTGGACTAGATGATCATTGTGGTCTCTTCCAACTCTACAGTCGTATGAATGTATAAATCTATGAATTTACCGTATTTTTTGCTCTGTAAGACTCACTTTTTCCCTCCTAAAAAGTAAGGGGAAATGTGTGTGCGTCTTATGGAGCGAATGCAGGCTGCGCAGCTATCCCAGAAGCCAGAACAGCAAGAGGGGTCGCTGCTTTCGCTGTGCAGCAATCTCTCTTGCTGTTCTGGCTTCGGGGATTCAGAATATTTTTTTTCTTGTTTTCCTCCTCCAAAAACTAGGTGTGTCTTGTGGTCTGGTGCGTCTTATAGAGCGAAAAATACAGTACATTTGTTGCTCAGCCCACTTTAAAAAAACAATTTATTTGATTTTTCAACTTAAAATTTGCAGAGACAAAGCAAACATAAATCATAAAGCAAGATTCCAAAGAATCTCCAGGACTTCCATCTTCCCCTATGTGGGTCCTATTATTAATCAGTTCCTCCCGCATCTTTTATGACAATCCAAACCCTTTACTTCTTCCTTTATGCTCAGAATCAACCTTAAACTACAAGTGATATTCCAATCCTACTAACGATTTTAACTGTTCACAGTAGTCTTTAAGATAACTTATAAATTTCCCCATCCCTTGTTAAAATTTTGGTCTTCCTGATTTCTGACTCTTCCAGTCATTTTAGCCATTTCAGCATAGTCCATCAACTTCATTTGCCATTCTTCTCTGGTAGGAACTTTACATTATTTCCATCTTTCGGACCAGTAACATCTGTGCAGCCCGTGGTCGCATACATAAATAGTCTTTTCTGCTCCTTTGGGATTTTGGTATCTAAGTCCACTTTGGCCTCTGGCCATGGTCAACCACAAGCATGTCTTCCATCACCCCTCCAAGTCATTGCAAACATCCAAAGGACCTATTGAAAATGTGTGCAGGGATATTTCTCCCTGGAGATCTGGTGTAAGAGAGTCCTTGAACTGCTGCCTGACTGGAGTGAGTCTGCTGCTTCCCTCTCCTTAAAAGAGGATGGGACAAATTTATGGAGGACACGGCTATTGATGGCTACTTGCCATGATGGCTGTGCTCTGAATGCTTCTGAATAGCAGTTTCTGGAAATATAATAATAATAATAATAATAATAATAATAATAATAATAATAATTTATTTATACCCCGCCCATCTGGCTGAGTTTCCCCAGCCACTCTGGGTGGCTCCCAATTGAGTGTTAACAGAGTATTAAAATACAATAGTCTATTAAACATTAAAAGCTTCCCTAAACAGGGCTGCCTTCAGATGTCTTCTAAAAGTATGGTAGTTGTTTATTTCCTTGACATCTGATGGGAGGGTGTTCCACAGGGCGGGCGCCACTACCGAGAAGGCCCTCTGCCTGGTTCCCGGTAACCTCACTTCTCGCAATGAGGGAACCGCCAGAAGGCCCTCGGCGATGGATCTCAGTGTCCGGGCAGAATGATGAGGGTGGAGGCGCTCCTTCAGGTATACTGGACTGAGGCCGTTTAGGGCTTAAAAGCTCAGCACCAACACTTTGAATTGTGCTCGGAAACATACTGGGAGCCAGTGTAGGTCTTTCAAGACCGGTGTTATGTGGTCTCGGCGGCTGCTCCCAGTCACCAGTCTAGCTGCTGCATTCTGGATTAATTGCAGTTTCCGGGTCACCTTCAAAGGTAGCCCCACATAGAGCGCATTGCAGTAGTCCAAGCGGGAGATAACTAGAGCATGCACCACTCTGGCAAAACAATCCACGGGCAGACAGGGTCTCAGCCTGTGTATTAGATGGAGCTGGTAGACAGCTGCCCTGGACACAGAATTGAGGTTCTGCTTTCTGGCTTCCAATGGGCCACTGTCAGAAAAGGATACTGGACGAAGATGAGCCTCTGGCCTGATCCAGCAGCCTCTTCTTATGTTCTGCTCATTTTGTATGATAAAGCGGCTATAACATGAATGCTAGAAGCTTCAGGCAAGAGAGGGGAGATTTGCGCTTTCCCTGCCTTCCACTTTTTCAATTGCAACGCTCCTCTAGCTGACCTCACCACCAGCCTCTTGGGGAGGGTGACAAACACACACACACACCAAGCTTTGCCGAAAGAAAGAAAACGCATCACCCCAGATAAAGACATATATTTGCACAAAATGATCATTAGCAAATGCAAATTTAGAAATACCCCTGGTCCTGCTAGCTAGGGTTGATAGGAAGTGCAGTCCAACGACAGCTGGGGACCCAAGATGGAGAAACACTGAAAACGGAATTAGATTGTGGGCATGTCACCAGCTATAATAATAATAATAATTTATTATTTATACTCCGCCCATCTGGCTGGGTTTCCCCAGCCACTCTGGGCGGCTTCCAACACAATATTAAAATACAGTAATGCATCAAACATTAAAAGCTTCCCTAAACAGGGCTACCCTCAGATGTCTTCTAAATGTCAGGTAGTTGTTTTTCTCTTTGACATCTGGTGGGAGGGCGTTCCACAGGGCGGGTGCCACTACCGAGAAGGCCCTCTGTCTGGTTCCCTGTAGCCTCACTTCTCACAATGAGGGAACCGCCAGAAGGCCCTCAACGCTGGACTTCAGTGTCCGGGCAGAATGATGGGGGTGGAGACGCTCCTTCAGATATACTGGACTAAGGCCGTTTAGGGCTTGAAAGATCAGCACCAATGCTTTGAATTGTGCTCGGAAATGTACTGGGAGCCAGTGTAGGTCTTTCAAGACCAGTGTTATGTGGTCTTGGTGGCCGCTCCCAGTCACCAGTCTAGCTGCTGCATTCTGGATTAGTTGTAGTTTCACCTTCAAAGGTAGCCCCACATAGAGCGCATTGCAGTAGCTACAGGGGGCTGAGGGGTCTTGGGATCCCCTCAATATCTGGGGGCAAGGAGCCAGGTCTCCTGAACGTTGAGGGGGTGGAGGAGGTCAGGTCTCCTCCCAACGACTGGCTTTCCAATGTGGGAAGATTAAAAGTGCACTGTGTTCCTCAGCAAGAACGCGCCGGGGGGCTGGATCTTCAGCACTCTGACTCTGCCTTCTAAGGAACCCCAAGTGCCTTTCCTGTGCCCCCTACCTTGAGAGAGAGGGAGAGATAAAGAGAAGGGGTTTTTTTAGAAGCTAGGTAGCTTCAAAGAACAAGCCCTTCAGCCCAGACCTATCCAAATTGCACAACCACAAGGAAGTCGCCAAAAAAAGAACCGGCAGGCAGGCAGGCGTCAAGGTGAGGTGAGTGGCAGGGCGATTTAACTCCCCAGGGAGTTTTCAGAGCACAGGAATCCTGCTTAAGCACTCCTTCAAGTGCAAAAGAAAACCAAGGTGTGTACATGTGAGGTCAGCCGAAGTCATTCCCAAGGGCCCCACCCGTGAAATCTGTGTAGTCAGGTTTCAAGTACGAAAAGAGCTGAGGTTGCTTCTCCCGGGCACACAATCCAGTAATCGGGGTGAATGGGAGACCCCAAATCTAGCAGGGAGGAGGACCTGGGGTGACCTTCAGTTTTTATTTGTACAGCCTCTGCACAAATGGGGGGCGTTTGAACTTGAAGAGCTCCTGAGTGGGGCTAAAGAACACAACACGGTTGATCTCTCTTCATTTGTAATAATAATAATAATAATAATAATAATAATAATAATAATTTATTATTTGTACCCCGCCCATCTGGCTGGGTTTCCCCAGCCACTCTGGGCGGCTTCCAACAAAGATTAAAAATACATTAAAATGTCACACATTAAAAACTTCCCTGAACAGGGCTGCCTTCAGGTGTCTTCTAAAAGTCAGGTAGTTGCTTTTCTCTTTGACATCTGCTGGAAGGGTGTTCCACAGGGCGGGTGCCACTACCAAGAAGGCCCTCTGCCTGGTTCCCTGTAGCTTCGCTTCTCACAGTGAGGGAACCGCCAGAAGGCCCTCGGTGCTGGACCTCAGTGTCCGGGCAGAACGATGGGGGTGGAGACGCTCCTTCAGGTATACTGGGCCAAGGCCGTTTGTACCCAAATAAAGGCCTAAATGGGGGTGAAGGGAGAGACCTGTTGGGTCCCTGGATCAGATCAGATTCTGTCTCTATCATCTTGTTTGCCACAATGGCCAAACAGGAGCTTCTGGGAAAACCAAGAAGGAGGCTTTGATTTATTTGTTTGCCGTTATGAGCCTTACAGAATTACAGTCCCCCCAATATTAAAATCTGTGGTACGGATGTGTCTGTAGAGGCTTGAGACTTCCTCTCTGGGCAGAACCCGAGGAAAAACCTAAAGGGGAAGCAGTTTGGGATGGTCAGCGCTTTGAGCTCAGCGCCACGTTTCACTTCTTCATGTCACAAAATGCATCTGCCGCTCGATGGCGAAAAGAACCTCGAAGCGGTTTGCAAGCTCGCATCTCTGTGCAGATCAAACCAAGCATTGCAAAGGCAGGAGCGCCCGCTCAGACGACCTTTGTTCTAAGGAGCCCAGGCCATAGCTGTCAACTTACAGATTTGAAAATAAGGGACCAGCAGCCTCGGAAATTAGGGATCAGCAGCCAAAATAAGGGATTTTAGTCAACCAGCTGAAATACGAAGCTAAAAGGGAGCAGATAATTTGGGAGAGCAGCGCCGGTTTTTAGCCCTTCGTTTCCAGAGGTTGCTGCTCAAGACACCAGCCGATGAAACACTGCAATTAAATAACTACAAGCAGCAACCACTTTTTGCGCAAAACGAAGTCCAAGCTATGAAGATGCTGTTGCAGTTCTGTATCTTTTCTCTCGTGCTCCATCTGCAGCTCTCAGTTCCATCAGGCGGGGCGGGAGGAAGGGGGGGGGGAAATAGCGCCCGAAGTAAACCTGCAGATCAGACCATCTATGCTAGTCTACCACTACAAATCTATGGGAGAAGCGCTTGTGGTCCTTCCTCCGCTTTCCCCCTCTATGGTTAGCCCTTAGAACACCTGCCTGCGCCTCCGCCTCCTTCTCCTCTCTCTGAACTGCTTTCTCTATGGTTGCCCTCGCTCTCCTCTCAAGGCTCCGCAGTCCTGGCGGGAAGGGGCTCCCGGGGGCCGAGGCTGGTGAGAGGAGGCCGGGGGGGGGGGGCGGGCAGCCAAGCAACACAGTTGGAGCCTTCCTCCTCCCTGGCTGGCAGGGAGGAAGGGAGAGGAGCTTCTTCCTTTGAAACCCGGGAAATTTAAGGGACATCATCAATAAGGGACAGCAGCGGGACACGGCGCTGGGATAAGGGACTTTCCCACCAAATAAGGGACACTTGACAGCTATGGCCCAGACCCTGAGGGCATGTGCTGGGACCATGGAGGTTTCTCCGCACTTGGAAGGCAGGGTCTGCGTGTCACGGCATGATTCTCCCTTTTCCCTCACTGTAGCCCTGGGCCAAAACATCACGGAGCCGAGAACAGTGCTCCATTGCTTCAAATGCGACTTCGACCAACCCTGCTCAGAGGCGAGTGTGACCTGCAATGAAGGCGAGAGCTGCAGTACCATCAGAGGGCATTCAGGTTGGTGCCACTGTCCCAGGGATGGGCTTCCCTCCCTCCAGCCTCCAGTCAGGAAGTTGTGTGCAGCCATGGCCTGCCCGGAGGTGGCGTGGGGCTTCATGGGTACCCTGCAGGCCGGACCGAGTGTCTACTCCAGTCGGCAGGCTGGCAGGAGGCAGGCGAGAGGCATGGCCACCGCCCAGGCATGTCCTGGCAGGCCCTCTCCCCGGTTCCTTGCCCTTCCCTGCCTGCTGCCGGGGGTCTCTGGGTCCCAGAGTCTGGCCTGGCCTTGCTGTCCCTGGCAGGAGCCAGCAACAGCGGAGGTGCTTGCTTTTTCGCTCAGCATGCTGCTATCCCCACACAGTTGCGGAAGCAGATCAGGCCCATGGTGAATGGGCAAGGATGGAGGGAGGCGGGCAAGGGGCGATCCCAGTGCAGCCTCTCTGCGGGCATCGGGGGAATTCACCCGTCACTGGCCGCATTGGCCGATTGAACTCTGCCGTGTGTGGGCGGGCATTTAAGCAGCGCTGTGCAGCCCCACCTGGCTCCAGAGGAGGGATCGCTTCAGCAGTGTCTGTGGTTTGCCTGCCCCGGGCGCTGGCAGTCCACGCTATGCCACTGTGTTCCCTAATAACTACCATACAGTATATATACTGCCTCTGCTTCTGGAGGTCATAGAGAGAGAGCTGTCATGTGTCTAAATCCCCCTTTCCAAGCCAGCCTCTGTGAAATCCCTTTTTAAAGATGGGGATTAGGCGAGACCTGTGCTTGCATTCTGGGTGCAGTGCAATGATCTCATTCCCCCTCGGGCTTCGTCTCTTATGGCAACATTTCTGGCTTAGCATGCCTACGCTCTCCCATTAAAATCAGGAGTATCTATCAGCCCCGGTACGTCCTGCCGATTCTCAACCTCTGTAGGAACATATGTACAGTGGAACCTCGGGTTAAGTACTTAATTCATTCTGGAGGTCTGTTCTTAACCTGAAACTGTTCTTAACCTGAAGCACCACTTTAGCTAATGGGGACTCCTGCTGCTGCCGTGCTGCCGGAGCATGATTTCTGTTCTCATCCTGAAGCACTATTTCTGGGTTAGCGGAGTCTGTAACCTGAAGTGTATGTAACCTGAAGCGTATGTAACCCGAGGTACCACTGTACTGTGTTATATTGAGTTGGACAACTGGTCCATCTAGCTCAGCACTGTCTAAACGGACCGGCACCAGCTTTCTGGGATTTCGGGCAGAACTCTCCCCCAGCCCTACCTGGAGACGCCGGGGATTGAACCCGGAGCCTTCCACTTGCAAGGCAGACCCTCAGCCGCTGAGCTGCGGCCCTTGTAACTTTGCACCCGCTTGCTCCTTGCAGATTATAAAGTCCACGAATCCATCTACGGGAAGGGCTGCGTCTCTGTCAGGAAGTGCAATGGCTTAGACAGAATCAGCTACTCCAACAACCCTTTCCGCGTCACCTACTCCTGCTGCAACACCGACTACTGCAACGGCGGCTACTCCGGGGCACCCCGCCTCCCCTTGGTCTGCGTGGCCACCATCCTGACCATGCTGCTTGCCTACCTCTTGTGAGACCCAGAACATGCCCGCCCTGTAAGGAAACTTACCCGCTCCCCACAGTGACCATCTCCCCTTGCTCATGTCTCCTTCCGTCTCCAAAACAGCCAAGGCCCTGTTTCTCATAATGGACACAATTTTGTATCTACAATGTCACTCCCGGTTTATATTTCTGTCTTTACCTTCTGGCCCACAAATTAGCCCTCTAAACAAACCAATTTGTTTATTATCTCCATACCAGAAGTGATCTGTCAAGTTTCCTACAGATGCAGGAAACTGCTGCTCATCTGCCCCACTTCTGTCTCCAGTGACTGGCCGTGGCTCCGTAGAGCTTCTGACAGCAGGTCCCTATCGTATTTATTTTATTTATTGACAAGAGATAAAAGCCGCTTCACGACCAGTTATAACACGATGAGTTATGGCCGCTTCCCAAACATTGCCATGGCAGTGTGTTGGTTGGGTGGCGCCCCCTGGTGTGCGGTTCCTGAAGTGCTGCAAATCACACAAGTGTCCGTCCGTCCTTTTGTCTGGGATTTGCGAGCTACTTTTGCCCATACAAAAGATTTTGGGGAAACTTCTTAGAACCTCACAAGGTGATCAGATTTCATGACATAGCACAGTAGTTAAGGCTGCAATCCCAGGCATGCCTTCTTGAAAGCAAACCCCATTCAATTCATTGGGACTTTCTTTCGAATAAACATGTGTTGGATCAGGCTGAAAGCGCATGAGCCCCAGGCCGTAAAACTTTCTGGTTCAAATGTGGCTTCAGCTAGGAACGCAGAATGAGGAACTCGGAATAACCAGGTCCCTATTCTCTAGCACTCTCTGACTGGCACCATCTCCAGGGGCCCCCAGGGGCCCCCAGGGGCTTGGGCACCCACACTTTTTTTGCTGTGGGTGCCAGGCCTCCACCCCCTGCCATGACTGCTGCCTCTGTGGCCGCCTCTGTGCACCACCTGCCATGGCGGTGACAGGGCCTGAGCACTAGAGGTAAGGCAGTAGGTGGTTGTGAGAGATGGCACGTGGAGGCAGAGGCCCCGATCCAGTCACTGCCGCAGCACCAGAACACGTGCACTGTGCTATCATGACAGCATGGCACAGTGCACGTGTTCCGGCCTCACGTCACATCACAACCTCATTATGGCACTGCAGGGCGCACGCCAACATTGGACAGCCACAATGTGGGGCCCAATGTCGGTGCCCCTGCTAAATGGCAACATGGAAATGATAATAACACCGACCTCCTTCACAGGGGGTACTGCTCTTTGAACCTCTGAAAATGGAAGTGTTTAAAGAGCAGTCGGGGCTGTTTGCAAAAGGGCTTTCAAACAGCCTCACACCTGAGCTTTGACTGTGTGTTCCTGTTCCCAGCAGAAGAACAGGAATGTCTCACCAAACCTAACCCCCACTGGTCGGTTGATGAGCAGGGACTAAATCCTGCTCAGTTTGACTGCACCTACAAGTGCTCAGCTGTGAAACCGGTCCGTGCAGTCAACGCAGGATCAAACCATGTCCCATCAGCTGGCGTCACCCCCTCATTGGAGGGGAAGGTAGGCATGGTTTCCTTAAAATAGCCTCATGGGCCAAATTCCCCTCCCTAACAGGCCAGGACTGGCCCATGAACTGGAGGTTACCCACCCCTGGTTTAAACACAGACTACTTCATAGCCTATATTGCAGGCTCTCACCAGCACAACCATGCAAGGGAGATCTTTATCCTTCCCAGATTGCAACCCTGCACAAGCTCTTAGACATGTCTGGAGCTTTCAAGAAAGAAAACCTTTCTCAAAATTGTTGTGCATATGTCTGCACCACTAGCCTTCAAAAATACCATTATTATAATACTGTAGAAACAACGTCTCTTATGAACAGAGTGCTGGTGCACTAAAAAGACCATGTATGTTTCTGTTTGTCTATCTACAATTCCCAATTAAAACATTAAAAATGTTCCTTGCAAGTATTGTTTTGCTGAAGGGACCCATATGAGCCCGAGAGCATGATTCTTTTGCCAGGTAGCCGATGCGACAGCAAGAAGAACAAGGTCAAAGGAGAAGCATGAAGAGGCAGGAGGAGGAAATTCAGTTAAGTTCACATTTAAAGGCAGACATGCCCAAGTCACACTTTCCGAGACAATGTGCGAACCAAACCACAGCCACCCTTCAATATTTGCACCCCTGTGAATTGTGCAGTCCAGTTCTCCAACCGAGCAGTGTGTACAAATGACGCATATGTGAGAGAGAAAATACATATATTAGCCAAAACTATATTCATAAATGCGTTAGATTGCGAGGGATGCTTTGCAAAGTGTAGATGAATTCTCATGAAGACTTCTTTTCTTTTCTTTTACAACCACTGAGCATGTGAAAACGAGGCATGACTTTAAGATAAGGTTACCAGAGTTTTTTTCAATGAATCCGGGGGTACTTTTCAACTTCCGTCGGAATGATAGTGGAAATGATAGGGGTAAAAGGTAAAGGGAGCCCTGACCATTAGATCTAGTCGTGGCTGACTCTGGGGTTGCAGCGCTCATCTCGCTTTATTGGCTGAGGGAGCCAGCATACAGCTTCCGGGTCATGTGGCCAGCATGACTAAGCCGCTTCTGGCGAACCAGAGCAGTGCATGGAAATGCCGTTTACCTTCCCACCAGAGCGGTACCTATTTATCTACTTGCACTTTGACGTGCTTTGGAACTGCTAGCTGATTTGTAAATGGGGACGTCTGGTAACCTTACTTTAAGACTGGAGGGAATGAGAAACTGAGAGAAACATAGACTGAGAGATTTGCACAGTCCACACACACACTCACACCTCTGAGGTAGAAAATCCCACAATAACCTCTCTTCCTCCCTGCCAGTGAAAAGGCAACCATCTTTTGCCCACTCAGAATGAACCACCTGAGACAATTCCCTGTCTTTGTCTAATGGCAATTCTAAGGAGATGGCTTTCCCCACCGGGGAGCTGTCATTTCTGAAGCGTGCTGGGCGTTGTGGCTGTGTGAGGAACTGCAGTTCCTAGGATTCTCTGAGGGGAAAGGCATGGTGTTGCTGTGGACCATTGTGGAAGCAAAATAAACGCCTCCAACTTCCCCTTCCCCACGTTGCTGCTCTGAATGTGAACAGGGGCCCTGGAGGCCTGGCCTTGCACCAGAGGTATTGTCTGCAGAAGCCATCCTGCAGGGTGTATTTGATGAAATACCACACATATGTTTGCTGCTCACCCAGGCACCACAAATGTTGCTGAAGTACAACTCCCACCGTCGCTGTCTGTAGGCCCTGCTGGCTGGGGCTAATGGGCGTTCAAATGGGTAAGCCACCTGAGGGGATGTGACAGGTTTTCCCATCCAGCAACAGCACAACAGATAGGCTGAGGGAAAAGTCTCGCCAGGAATGAGGGAACATCAGCTTCCAACAGCATTTCCAAGGCGAAGGTTCCCTATTCCTGATTCACCGGGACATAGTGGTCAGGGCTGAGGTGGTACTGAAATACGCAAATGCTGGGAAGATGTACGAGAGAAGAGAATAAAGTTAGAAACAGTGGCAAAGCTATTCAAAAGGTGTCGGTGGGGAGGGATGCGCCCTAATCACAAGGCTGATTTCCCATGTCAAGGAGTGAATTTAGGGTGTCATGTAAAAAATAAATAAATATCCAAGCACTTCGTCCAGCTCTTCGAGCCTTACTAACTGAAACCCATCCAACGCAACAAGACAACAAGTGGTCTCTGGACACCCTTTGGGATTCATTGATCCCCTAAAACTGAAAAGAACTGCAGGCCAGTTCCTTATCTCTCATTGTTTTACTCAATGGTGGAACAATCTTTGGCAAAACGCTCAAGGCAGCTTGAGGGATGATACAGAATGCACAACCAGTTTTAATCCAGCTTCAGACCGGATTGGCTGATTTCCTCCAACAGGTATACCCAACCTTTTTGTGCCTGGTAGCACATCTCAAAAATCGATAAACGGCTGTGGCCACCACAAAAATACCCATCACCATCATCATCATCATTTTTATTCGACCGTCAGTCAGAAAAAAGTACATTTTATCAATACACAGTTAAAACATCCAGGAAGATTTTAAAACTTAGCCAACACTAAAATGGGCTAAACAGATAGCCCCATATCAATACAGTCAATTATAGTCTTGCGACGCTGAAAGCTAAAAGAGAAATTTGGCCACCAAGGAAGGTATAGCTCTAGTGGCGTTATTCAGCAAGTGTAAAACCTGGTTTTCTCCGGGTAGGAAGCTGAATTGACATAGGAGAGGGTCTATAAAATTTTGTCTAAGCTCTGCATAAGAAGGGCAAGTCAAAAGAATATGTTCAGTGGACTCAACCATACCCATGGCACAATGACAGGTTCTCTGGGCGTATGGTACCCCCCTGTACCTTCCCCACAATATCGCAGAGTCAAGGACATTTAATCTAGCCGCTGTAAGAAGTCTACGGTATTCCACATAATGGATTTCTGCAAGGTAGGGGGCTGGTATGGTCCGATAAATCTGGTCCCCTAGGAACATCCCTGATTTTACCTGGGCTATGTCCTCTTTCTGGCAATGTCACTCAGTCTCTGGGAGATCACAGCTCTAGCTTGATTGTACGTCATAGACTCAAAGTAGAGGTGAGACAATCCGCAGGATTGAACCTCATTAATGACCTCCCTTTCCCACGATGATTGGAAATCGTCCCTCAATATCAAGGGGGCAATACCCACTAGTTTAAAACAAAGCTTGAGCCATAGCCAGAGCTTCGTCTTCAAGGCCACATACCGTAGGGCTTGCCAGCCGACCTCTAATCTCATAACCGCACCCGCTACCGAGGGGGGAATCCTAAGGATGGCTCTAAGGAATCTCGTTTGGATAGAATCCAGTTTCAAAAATCCCTACGGGAGCCTAAAGAGATGCCCACCAAAAGAAGGGGGAGGACTTTCATTTGAAAGAGTCTCAAAGCTATCTTCACTGATTGAGCCTGATTCTTAGCATATAGAGATCTAATCTGGATGGCTGCTTTAGATGCGTTAGTTGTTATATAGTCTCTATGGGCCAGAAAAGACCTATTTGACCGTATTACTTGTCCCAGATATTTAAAGCAGTTAACCTGCTCTAGGGGGGTCCCGTTCAAATACCCATTTCACAGAAGAAAAGCGAGTGATGTTCGGAAACAAAAGAACCTGCCGCCCCTCAAAAAAACAAGACAAAGAAAGCAGGTGACATCCCATAAAAAAACAGACATCCCTTCCAACCAAAAAAGTTCCTCTTTTTTTTAAAAAAAAAAAAAGTGGGGGAGGACAGATGGTTTTGGCGAGCATGGAGGGTTTCTGAGGGCACCAGGTTGGGGCACCTACCCTGAGAAAGAGAGACAGAGGAGTGTGACCCTGTTCGTTCTCCTAGATCAGGCATAGGCAAACTCGGCCCTCCAGATGTTTTGGGACTACAACTCCCATCATCCCTAGCTAACAGGAACAGTGGTCAGGGATGATGGGAATTGTAGTCCCAAAAACATCTGGAGGGCTGAGTTTGCCTATGCCTGTCCTAGATCTCTGTACACTTTTGATTCTGTCAAAGTGATGGTTCACTTCTGGGGTTGGGAGTAGAAGGCAGTGCTTTTCCATGGCATCATTCTACTTCTCTGCGAGATTCCAGAACGAGGTGCGGGGACACTGTTGCTGTTGTCGTTTTAAATTACTTTTAATCAATCCTCATTTCACAAAGAAACAACAAATATCTCAACAACTGCGGAGAGAGAGAGGTCAGGGTTGTCCCAGCAGTGTATCTCAAGTTCTGGACTGTCAGTCAAAAGGGTCTTTTCAGAGATGAGTCAAAGGAAGGTGAAGTGCATGCTGGGACGTTGTTGTTCTTTCGACTATCTCTTTGCAAAAGGGACCTGAAGCTTCACGTTTCTTCCGGTGCTGTGCATTATACTCCCTGCCATTAAGATAACACTGCTGATGTAGTTTCTATTTTCCTTTGGGTGTCTAAATGTTTTTGCTACCGTGGATTTAAGCATTTACTCCCTCCTTTTCTGAGCTGAAAAGCGCCCTTCATCCCTCGTATTACTAGCAGAACATGTTTCTGCCGCCACGCTCTGAGCACATTACCTGTTTCCTTAGGATTATTGTGCTTATAATCATTCCCAGGTGAGTTTTTAAACACCCTTCTTCTTGTAGTCACATGCACAGCTGCATTTTGGATGTCCATGCCAGATGTCTCTCATCGCCCTCTTACATACTATGAACTTTTCTCACAACTTGTGAGAAAAACAGCTGGCGACCGTCCTATCCCAGCCTTCAGCAATCTTATGAATTTAGAGGAAGGTACAGGCAACTGGAGGCTTCAGGACTCAAACTGTCCCCTTTGATGGCAGCATGCCTTTCCCCTTGGGGGGTTTGGAGTCCTGTGCCCTGACCAAAGTATTTTAGGACAGGGATGATGGAATCTGCAGCACCCCATTCCCACCAACTCTGAGGCTGGGCTAATTTCCATGTCCTAGGACAGGGGTAGGCAACCTAAGGCCAGGGGCCGGATGCAACCCAATCGCCTTCTCAATCCCAGTACGTTTCCGAGCACAATTCAAAGTGTTGGTGCCGACCTTTAAAGCCCTGAACGGCCTCGGTCCAGTATACCTGAAGGAGCGTCTCCACCCCCATCATTCTGCCCGGACACTGAGATCCAGCACCGAGGGCCTTCTGGTGGTTCCCTCCCTGCAAGAAGTGAGGTTACGGGGAACCAGGCAGAGGGTCTTCTCGGTAGTGGCACCCACCCTGTGGAACGCCCTCCCACCAGATGTCAAAGAGAAAAACAACTACCAGACTTTTAGAAGACATCTGAAGGCAGCCCTGTTTAGGGAAGCTTTTAATGTTCAATAGACTATCGTATTTTAATATTCTGTTGGAAGCCACCCAGAGTGGCTGGGGAAACCCAGCCAGATGTGCGGGGTATAAATAATAAAATTATTATTATT